CTCGTAAATTCCACCTGTCTGCGCCGCGCACTTTTGGAATTCCTCACCGTTTATTTTGACATGCATAAAGTGCACTCGCCGCTTCCTCGTAGCGGGAAATTGAACCTCAACGACGGTTAATGAAACTTTGTCTTGATGATTGCCGCAATTGCAATCGATTTCAAATGTTTTTTCGTTAAAAAATAATCTACTTCCGTTTCAAAACTTTCTACATTCGCAAACGTGCAATCAAAACTATTCCGGTCAGCCTTTTGGCGAAATTGTGTTTCTGCGATTGAAAAAGGAACCAAAGCCGCAGTCGGAGAAATTCGTCTGCACGACCCGTAGCTCAATATTTATTTTCTCCGAACGTTGCAAAAAAAAGGAATATCTACTTTGGCGCCGCCCTCAACATCATTTCTAAGTTTTCCTCATTCATTTGACGCCACATTCTCAGAGTGTTTACCGTGCTAAGAGATTACAAACTATACGCTTTGAAACGTCACAGCGACGGGGATTAACGCTGCAAACATGTGTTACAAGAAATAAAACATGCGTAATTTAAGTTGCACATTTTTATTTCTATAATTACGGAAAAAAACTAGGAAATTTCCTGCCCTAAATTATAATTTTGGCATTTGATTATACAAGCCATTGTCTTATTAGTTTTTGCTGTGTAATCGCATTTGAATAATTCAGCTCCGTTTCAATATTGATTTGCTATGCAGGGGCATCAGGGAAAGATAGCCGCGTACTTTCGATTTTCGTCAGGGCCATTCTCACGGCTGTCAATATGCCTGTAGGAATACCAAATACGGAACTAACCAAATTATTTAATTAAGATATTAAATCGCCCGCCTCTGAAAACTTTGTTTGAAGGCGAGTCCGCGGAAAAAGCAACGAGAATCGCTTATTTTTTTTTATAACGATGCCAGTCCGTGACCATCTCTTGTGTGCGTGATGAGCAGTGGATATTTATATTCCATTTCTTCCTGATCGCGATTTCATATAGACGCCGACACAAAGACAGACAGCCTTGCAAAAATAGCGGCGGCGCGACTCTCACATTGCAAAAGCCTTTTAAACAGTAATTAAGCGCGGGCTCTTGTTCAGCTCCGTTGGGTTAAAAAAAAATGAATTTCTAAATTGCATTTGTGTGAAAATTGAAGAGCGCGGGCGTCTGTGGTGCAATGCTGAGGAAGGCAAAACTTTACAATGTTCATCTTTCATGAGAACTTGAATTTCAAATGATTCATTTATCTGGAAATAATTCTGCTAGCATTTTTTTTTTTTATAATTGCAATATTAATTATTTCAATCCACGATGTTTTAGGTTAGAAAAATCAGAAACCCCACTAGAAAAATTTAACTTAATATTCTAAAAATTATTTTAGATTTCAACACTTCACAAAAATTAATGATATTTTACATATTTTTCTCTGTTATTTTCACAAAATTTAATGGAAAAAATTAAATAGCATCAATTAACAATTGCTAAGATATTATTCGCCGTTTCCCCTTAGTAAGCCCATCGCCGAAACTTTAAAACGCAATTCATCTGCCGAGACTAATTGAGCAGCAATTAGCACGATTTAACTTGAGCCACGCTTAATTACCGCGTTGCTCTGATTAGCCCCATTCTGGTAATGAAAGCGTGGGCCCGTCGAGTGACAACTGCTGGGCACACAAACAAAATAATAGGAAGATTTTGCGGACCACGATTGGTGCTCGGCGGGTGGAGTGACCACACGTGATCCGTGCGCATAGGCACATTATTATTTATTTACACAGAACTTTGCACTCGCAATTATGCAAGACCCATTCACTTATTTCATCGCTCCACGCGGTGCGTCTTCCGCTCTGCTCATGCACCCGTCATGCTGTGTCGCGAGAAAGAAAAGAAGAAAGAAATTTTACGTTCTGCAATCTAAGCGGATCAACTATTTTAAGAACTCGGAGGAGAGGATTTTCTCGTCTTGTGACACGCTGCCTCCCATCGGGTGCATGAACTGCATGTGATTTTTATTTCTATACCACGCGACACATCGGTGCTCATTTTTTTAAATTCCAGCCAAAGCTGGGCCAAAGGAGCAATAATGTCATGTTATTATCCAGATTTAAATTTATAAAAACATTCTACTTGAAAGGATTCCAGTCTAATTAAATGTATTATAATCTTATTTTATTTATTATTATTTTGCATATTGCAAAGATTAGCCGGGAATTTCCCACACAAGCTGAAAGCTAAGCCGATAAAAGGATTGGCTGAAATCAAGCAGCACTCGTAAAGCCACAACCTCAGCGACTTGCAAATTCTTTCTTCATTGAGCTTTGTTCTTTCTTTTTAGCACGTCAGACTTGAGAGAAAAAATTTGAGATGAGATTATTTTCATTTATATATTAGGTTTAATTTTGCCGGATCTCATTTTGCGTCCATTCTTAGTGTCGAAAAGCATGACTCGGCGCATCTCTCGCCCCTTATTATGAATTGTGTATTTGCTCCTCCGATTTCGCGAATGCAACTGACGTACAAGAGAAGCTTCCACAATGAGCAAAAACGTTTGAACACTTCAGCTTCCCAACCCACTCGCGTACAGGATGTAATTTTTTCTTCTCCGATTAATGAATAAATTGGAATTAGTTTTGATTTGAAAACAGGAATGGCATTAAAATTGCATCATTCAAACTAGTCGTGGACTTCAAAATTAAGGTCAACGATGAAAGTTCACATTTCACTATTGCATAACGCAAAGTGCGCAGTTGCATTCAACGAATTCAGGTAGCGTAACGAGAATGCACGTTACGTATGAATGTACAAATCGAACAAAAAGGCAAGCACGCTTTTAATTCCTTTGAGGCTTGCATTTGAAGAAAAAGCTGAATCGAAAATGAGGAGAAGCGCAGAGAAGGTTACTTATTGTGTTGGTCAGGTTATCGTCAGCAGGTGGGGTTAACCAACGCTCATGGGGAATTGAGGCCCTCTCTGGTTATTTATTTACACGGAATCAATCGGTGACACAGCAATTAATGCGAAGAGATTAAATAACTCCAATGAATGAGTGTGTCAGCAACACACAGGTGAAGGAAATAAAAAAAAAACAATAATCATTTGTAGGTTGCGCGATACCGCAAGTTTCCTTTTCACGCAGCTACGCATTTTATACTCTCTACTTATCATCCCATGACTTTTGTTGTGGCATCGACTTGCATAAATAAATATATACTGGCTGCGCGCTTCTGCATGCGAAGAGTTGGAAAATATGAGCTTAACGTTTCGCAAAGTTTGCTCGCTGTTTTGAAACTTGGATAATTTATGCATAATTTATTAGAAAAAAATAATACAGTTTGAAACTTTGCTGACATATGCAATTCTTAAAACAGAAAAATCCATAAATTTTGTAAATAAAATCGATTTTTTTTTCTTGTGAAACTGGTTAACATTGTGAAAATTTTCATGAAATCCCCCTCAAAGTTAGCATTCAATGATGCATATTATTTTTTTAATAGAAGTTTCAAACTTTCAACATTGGTTTTAAGCTGACTTTTGTATATGCTAGTAAAATTTTCCATTATTTCAGTATACTTTTCATTTATATCTTAATGCAAAAACTTCAAAGCAAATCACGCCTTGCTGAGGAAACAGGTCAAGACGAGCTGTTCTGATTAGGTGCCAATTAAACTTACGAAACTGATTTTTTTCACCCCAGCGTCGGAATCATGTCACTTGCCGACCTGCGGCTTATCAATTCTCCGACACATAATAAAAGTATTGAGCTCGCTGTAACACTTTCTCCCTTCACTGCACATGTGCATGCGAGCAAAACAAATCCACGCAAATGTTCAGTACAAGGCGATATGTTTAATAAAGCACAACTTTTCCTCTGTGTGTGGCGCCAATCGCTGCCATGCAGTCGGACGCAGCGGCGAATAAAAGAAAGCTATAGTCGTGTCGCAATCGACTTGCGGGCGCCGTCTTTTATGATTCCAAGTAAAACCAGCATCTAGTAAAAAATCGTTAATTTCAAAGTACTGTTTTTTGTTTTATAACTTCAGACTGCTCCATTTTCTCATGTAAAAATGCGCCCAAAAAATCAAAAGATTTACAACCGGCGCAGGTTTGTTATCTGAGTAAGTTGTCTTGCACGGTGTAATATTGAAACAAGGTGCATTCGTAAAAGCACATCAAGTGTAATTCTCACTTGCTCGGTGTCACCACCGACAAAATAGATCAAGGCTCTGCTCTCGGCACGCTGCACTTATTTGCATTTCTAGCCGCGCAGTCGATATTTAGGTCTGTTGCGTCGCTGCTGCATCTTTTCGATTTTCCTCTTTCAAGCTTGCGGCACACTTGATTATATCAAAATAGGAGCGGTGGAGATATAATTGAGAGTAGCTCAAAATCACGCGGTGAGCACGTGGGGAATTGAGTCATTTCGTCCTTTGTTAGTAAATATTGAATTAATTAAGCAAGGTGAAGTAAAGCAATAACTGCGGAGAGCGCTCAGCCGGAACATGATAAATGTAATAAATACCACATTTTTACCGCCTTTCCATTTACTCACTGACTCTTAAAAAAAAATTTAATTTATTCTCCAAAAATAACCTTTGACGCAAAATCCGTATGCATTCTAAGAGCAAAGGCCCGCGTGCCTGGAATTCGCAGACAGTGAGCGCGAGACTGCACCTCGACCAAATTCGATCGCCGCCGCTGTCTCGCCGAGGAATTCATCCCTTAATTGAATCGCAGCCAAAAATTTCTCTAGCTTTATTTCCACCGCAGAGTTTACTGGCCTCGTTTGCTCTGTAAATGATTTTGACAAAAAGCGCGACTAAAATGGCTCAATTAGGTACATTTTCGGTGCTCATGACCTTCACCGGCTGAAATTGTTATCGCAGAGCAGCAGCCGCCGGCGAACGCATTCAAATTCCCCGAAAACTTCCTGGTGGTTTCGCGTTTCCGGCCGCGCGCACAGCCACATACACTGACCAATCGTCTCATTTTCCTCTCGTCTGCTCCACAGTTTCTACATGATGCTCCGCGGACCCGCCGTCGCCCTCACCGAGTACGAGGACAACATCCTCTTTGACCTCGATGACCCAGACTTTGGTGCCAACGAGAACTGCAGACCATCCAGTCCTGCCTTCCTGGGCATGGGACTGCGACGGGGCAGCCGAAGTAGTTGCGGATCGTCTGGTAAATGAAATAAGATAAATTTTACATAATAATAATTTATTTTTGCTTCAAATTTAGTTCATTATTTCATCAAACCAATATTTAATTGATATTTTTATGCCACTCTAATATCAAAAGATCTTTCAAGTTTGGTTGAGAGAAAAGATATTTAGTTTTATTATCAATAAGAAACAAGGTTTCAACATTATGTCAGTGTGTATTTGGCCAGATCTGATAGTGCGACATAGGCGCATCCGCTCCGAGTAACTTTTTTGTGTTATGCAGGAAGAGTTAAAATTGTACATGAAAAATATTCTTTTAATTTTCTACTCGTCTCAAATCATCTCTTATTTATTTCAAAAGGAAAACCTGCAAATTAGCTAGCAATTTTAATTCCAGTCTGGTCAAAACACGCAAGCATAATTTTCCGATTCCAAGCAATCGTCTAGCAGGACTGTAATTTTACCAGCACGCAACCAGTCTAAAGTAATAATTCCGCAATTTTGCAGCGAGCTTGGTAACCTTGGAACTGCCAACCACCCGTGAACGTCGCTGCAGGTAAATTTGGGTGGTTTTCTTTGGCTAAAACTTCTTTCACGACTTCAAGTTCAACTTCTAGATCATATTTTTCCACTGTTGAATGTAACTTTGCCTCTTGATTTATTAATTTTGGTTTTTCTAATTTCAGCGGCAGTAGCTGCGCCTCGTTCGACGGCGACTTGGCCTATCTGAGCATCGAGTCACTGCGCTCACACCTTAGCTCCTGCTTCACGTAAGAATTTTCTTTTTCTCTTGGCTTCGAGAAGGTCAACCCGCCTTAATTACTATCCAATTTTAGGCGCTGGTTCCTAATTTAGAATCAAACAAAGCATACATTATTTCCGTTTGCTTTTTAACTGTAAATTATTTACTAAACAAAAACCACTGCCGTTTTGAACTCACTATAAATTCTTATCAATGCACGAATGACTTGGAAATTACATTTTCCTGTTTTGATTGTCAATTATAATAAAAATCATAAAATTAAGAATTTAATTCAAATCCCAGGACTTTTTTGATCATTTTTCCTATTTTCAAATAAGAATACCATTTTAATTCGATTTTTAATAATCCTCAGGTGTGGCGTGAGCTGGGTTGAAGAACATGTTTCTTTAGACTGTCCTGAGTGTGGAGGATACTCAATGCAAAGGCCATGCCCAAGTTGTGATGGGCGCTGCGAGTCTACCTGGACCAGGGATCTTGCCTCCGTAAATAATTTTTTTGCTTTTCTATTCCGTTTCTATAATAAACATCAATCACATAAAAAATCTACTATCTGGGGTTAAAAAGATTCTAATTCGCATTTAATGTGATTTTGCAGAGCCACGCATCTGGAAAGGCAAGATGGGAAGGCGAATGCAGTAGTAACAACTGCAACAACAACCAAGACACAAACACCCAGGCCAGAATCATCCTGCGCTCCATTGTTGACCTCACCCTCTCAGATAAAATGACAACAGAGAAGAAGACGTCGTCATGACGAATGCAGTGTTAGTTGAATAATGACTCTCCAAGTGACCTAAGATAAAACTTTACTTTACGCGTATACAATTAACTAATAGGTTAAGCAAAAACAATGCTCAATGCACAGCCTTTTGTCACTTATCAGTTCCTTATTAACTAATGTCATCAAGTATAATTCATCTTGCATCTGCGTAGGAATGGACTAGTTGCCGAAACGCCATCAGTAAATAACTCTAGCAATTATAAACATTCCAATGCAAAAGGGACCAATTTGTGGATTGCTACAATCCAGTCAGAAATTGTATACTTGCGTTAATTTTGAATTAAAAAAATTATAGTCTGCCCAATGTAAATTTAATATGTGGCTTGGATTGAAAGAAATGAAGTGATGAGAGAGATCTGACTAGCGCTGTAAAGAGCTGCTTCAGCTAAAAATTTGTAGATTCATTTGTGACTGTACTAGGGTCGGTGGTTGTTGAGAGGCAAAAATCTCTTTATTTACAGGCAGCGCAGTATTGGCTGGGATTATTTTCTTGGACTCAAAATAATTTTTGCTAAAATTCAGCTCAAAGGTTTTCTTTGTGTAGGTTACACAGATTTTTTTAAATTTCATGATTATCCAAACATTGAAAGAATGTTACTTGATAATAACCTTCCAAACAAATAGATGCTTATTGTAAATAGTGAAGAATAAAAATCAAATTTGTCGAATTCGCCTGTGTCAAAGATATAGTGACCACGTTAATAAATAAAAATAAGTATATATAAAAATTTTAAGCTCTGGCAGCTCTGCTTTTATTTACAACTCAAATCATTACTACAAAACTGATCAATTTGAGACTTAACTTAAAAAATTAAAACAGCATTAGAAGCAAAGCTCACTTGGCGGAGGCACCACTGGAATGCTGCCCAGCTTGAAAGAATCAGACGTGAAGGCCTCGATAATGAAATTTTCTAGATCCTCCAGTTTGGAATAATGATTTCCAGCAGGAGCCTGGGTGAATGGATTCAAATTGACTGCGTCAGTTTGTGCAAAGACACTGGCCGGTTCTTGAGTTTTGGCAAATGGTGATGAAGTAGAAGTGGCAGAAGCAAAGATAGACGCTGTTGGCTGTTGACCAAAAGCTGGAACGCCTGAGAAAGGAGAAGGGCTGACAGCACTGCTGGTCGGTGTTATTTGCGCAAACGATGGTGGTTGGGCCGTCACAGCTGCAGCGGCAAATAGTCCTGAGGGTGGTGTAGGTTGTGGTGTTGATGGGGTCTGTCCAAAAATGGAGCCAACTGCTGGGGTCAAAGTCTGCTGACCGAACAAATTCGACTGCTGTCCGTAAGCAGGAGCAGCAAATGGTGTGCTCGACGCCTGCTGGGTCGTCTGGCCAAATAAACTGTTTCCGCTCTGGCCGAATAAATTCCCAGCCGGTTGGATTGTTTGACCAGCCTGGCCGAATAAATTTCCTGTTGTGGATGACTGGGTTGTTGGAGTAGCAGCTTGTCCAAACAAATTGGTGTTCGGAGTTGTAGGTTGGGCAAAAAGATTTGTACTCGTATTAGAAGCAGGACTTTGAACAGCTTGGGCAAATAATCCACCCGCAGGGGTTGAGCTGGCCTGACCAAAGATATTTCCAGGTTGGGACGTCTGCTGTCCGAAAAGTGATTTCTGCCCAAAGATGCTGCCAGCATTTGTAGTGGAACTCGCAGATTGGCTGAATAAACCAGAGGCTGCATTACTCAGGGGCTGACCAAACGGAGGCTGTGTGACAGCAGAGGGTTGAGGGGTGCCTGGAGTCTGCCCAAAAGCAGGAGGTTGGCCGAACAGGTTGCCACTGGATGGCTGAGCTGCTTGTCCGAATAAGTTTGCCTGGGCAGCACTCGTTTGCTGGCCAAAAGTAGACGACTGTCCGAACAAGTTGCTAGGCTGGCTCTGAGAAGCCTGTCCGAAGACACTCTGCGGTGCTTGCCCGAACAAGTTTTGAGCTGGAGCTTGAGTTTGGCTACTCTGGCCAAACACATTACCTGCGCTTTGTGTAAAGGCAGATGTCGTCTGTTGTCCGAAGAGGTTCGACTGGCCGAAGGAGGTCTTTTGGGCCAAAGCAGGCGCTGCTTCTCCAAACACGGGCTGAGTCGCAGCTGCTGCTGAAGCGAAGAGCCCACCTGTTGGTGTAGCAGGGGCTGCGCTGCCAAATAAACTACTCTGGGGTGTAGTTGCAGTCTGGCCGAACAAACTGGTCTGCCCAAAAGGCTTAGGAGATGATGTATTGGAGCCGAAAGTGCTGTTGCTTGACTGAAAAAAGAAAGGGAGTAGTTTTTAAATTCCATCGCTACAGTTATATTTTACAATATTTTACCTGGAATGGATTTGAGTTCTGCCGACTTCCGAAAACTGAACTGCTGCTGGTGGCCCCAGAAAAATTTCCACTCGAGCAAAGGTTTTCCTATTTTATTTTTTATTTTTAGCACATGTAATTATTAAATTACAATCAATAACACAAACCAGGCTTTTTACGTCCAAGCTCAAAATAGCAGCATGCTTCTCGTCTGACTCTTTTTTCAATTGTTCAAATCTATTTTTCTGAAATATATTAAAATTTTGATAGAAAATAAAATAATTTCAAGGCAAAATTTTACATAGGCATCAAAGTTGTTTTGAGACTGGGCTTGATATGCTTCAAATCTCAGCTCTTCTGGGGAAATGTCCTCTAGTATAGGAATATTTCCACCATCTTTCAGAGGGCAAATGCAGGAAAAAGGCCACTGCTTTCCACCTTGTGTCAATCTGATTTCCTCATCAAGGGCTCGTCTATGGAAAATTAGAAAAAAAAATTAAGAAAAATAAACTTTCCGAAACTTTCAATGTTTTTTACTTCATTGTAGCATAGTTGATTGGAGTTGTATTTCCACCAGCCCCAGAAGCTCCAAACGAAACCGACTTTTGAGGGGTCCCAAACACATTAGGTGGTGGTGGTCTGCTGTCTTAAATGGTGCAAATAGAAGGTTGAAAGGCTGTTATTGTCACTGATTTTCCATTAGGAAATCATAACATACCATAGGTGGTGTGTTCATTCCGACACTGGGCTCCATAGAGACAACGTCCTTGCAAAAAATATTTGCAAACTACCATGATGCTGAAGCGTTCTAGCCAGGGAAAGTTTTTTATATTCTTATGTCACTGTAAACTGATGTGAACTCTCTTGAATTTTTTCCAATTATCTGAAATTAAGTTCGGTTTTTTTGTTTTTAACATAAATTTCATGATCTAAATAACACAATGCTTACCGAAATTACGTTTACCAGGCTCTGGGTTTTCACGTTTTTCCACGTCGTCTTGAAATTTCTTGTTTATACATAATTTATGTGAAATAGTCGCACAATTTTCAACTTTATTTTTGTTGGTAAACAAAACAAGAGCCTAAGTTTTAAATTTTCGCGGGTCTAAAATCATCAGGTAAATTGAAGTGGGGGTGAAAATCTTTTGTTCATCCCTCTAACTTCGAACTCTTCGAAGCTGCAAGCTGCGCAAAATAGAAAAGTGGACGCTGCGCATGTATTCAATACATCGTCATCACTGCAAAAATAGTTTCTTCAAAATAAGCTGCAACCATGGCGGTGAGAGATATTTCTGCATCTTTATTTTATCCTTTTCCATCTTCTTCATCTCTAATATCTGGGCCAATTTTTCGCTCACTAAACATTTTCTTAATTATTCATTAAGCCAAAAATGGAAATATTTGTCACCATCATATTCTTTTTCATAGCAAAATTTCATTCCGAAATGCGTCCTTCCACCACATGACACAACCTTGTTGTTGACACGTGAAATTGCACGATTTTTACTATCGCAGGCCTAAATAATTATGTAAATAATTTAACGAGCTTTATTCCCATCAATATTTTGAGGATTGACCTGTAAATTCGCTCCTCAAATCTTCACACGAAGCTCGGAAGTTTGCATAAACACAATAATAACAACTAATCTGTTTTGACCGGTCTGTAGGATAAGGCTGCAGCACCCAAGGCCAAGAAGGTTGCGCCCCCAAAGGTCTCCGCGGGGCCCAAGAAGCTTCGTGTTCGAAAGCCCAAGCCTGAGCCTAAGGACAAGACGAAAAATGTGATGCGAGAGGTCAAGATCCGCAAACTGTGCCTGAATATCTGCGTCGGTGAGAGCGGTGATAGGCTGACTCGGTACGTTCGATTTTTTTATTTCGCAGGGAGAAATTCAATATTCAATTAAAAATTTTGCAGTGCCGCAAAGGTGTTGGAACAGTTGACTGGACAGCAGCCTGTTTTTTCAAAGGCAAGATACACCGTGAGGTCGTTCGGCATTAGACGTAATGAAAAGATCGCCGTTCACTGCACAGTGCGTGGTGCCAAGGCAGAGGAAATCCTCGAGCGTGGTCTCAAGGTAAAAAAATTTATTTGCAGATGTTAAATTTCGGCACAGTTTCTTTGTGGTGGTTGTTCTCTTGAGCATACCACAGTTTTTGACTTGTGCTAAATTAATCCTACTGTATTGCAACCTTTGGCTACCATTCTCTGCTAGTCAAATTACTGAGCGGAAGGAACATTCTGTGCTAAATGAGATTTAAACCTCTAGCATTATATTTTTACGAGTTGCATAGTAAAAGTTATAAAAATTCCAGGTCCGTGAATACGAGTTGCGCAGGGACAACTTCTCCCGCACCGGAAACTTTGGTTTCGGCATTCAGGAGCACATTGACTTGGGTATCAAGTACGACCCCAGCATAGGAATCTATGGTCTAGATTTCTACGTAGTTCTTGGACGCCCAGGTAAATTGACAAGGCTATGATAAAAAATTCATTGAAACCCAATTATTTTTCAGGCTTCAATGTTGCTTACCGTCGCCGCAAGCGTGGACAGGTTGGATTCCAACACAGATTGACCAAGGAAGATGCTATGAAGTGGTTCCAACAAAAGGTTTGTTTCTATAGCAAGTGCCTAAAAGTCTTACTAATTAATTTTTATTTTAGTATGATGGTATCATCCTTCCTGGAAAGGGCAAGGGCAAATAAATTTCCACACACATCTGTCTTTAAGTTCTACAATAAAAAATTTAAAATCAAGCATTTTTGTGTCATATTGATATTTTCCACTGCAATTGGAATTGCGTAAGTTAAATGAAATTTATTAAGTGAATTAAGATTGTTATTCGTCACATCAATTAGAAAGATTCAAGAAGGAATCAGAAATCAACAAGGATATTAATATAAATAACAGATAAATTCCTTTTTGTATTACGTATTTCTATAATGAATTTGTTAAATTGAAATGAGATGAATATTAAAATAATTGCATTGCAATTTAAATTTTCGCTTCTTCCCGCGCTTTAAGAAGCCATTTAAACAATTGAGCGTCCCCTAGCGCCGCTTTCCGACAACAAAACATTCAAGTTTGCTGATTCACGTAAATCTTCACGATGAGTTCGTCTCGTTATGATCGTGCTGTGACCGTATTTTCGCCCGATGGTCACCTTCTTCAGGTCGAATATGCTCAGGAAGCTGTCAGGAAAGGATCAACTGCGGTAAGTTTGGTTAATATTTTTTAAATCGGTACTAAAATGCATGTACCCTGTCATAGCAATGCCGGCATTCGGCCGATGCATAGTGCATTGTCATTGCTTGTGTTTCTGAAAGATCTTAAATTTAACTTTAAAATAGTGATAAATTTAATTTATAATTTAGGTCGGTGTGCGTGGTAAAGACGTGGTTGTCCTTGGCGTAGAAAAGAAGTCTGTGGCTAAACTCCAGGAGGAGAGAACGGTTCGCAAAGTTTGCCTTCTTGATGACCACATTGTCATGGCATTTGCTGGTATAATTACTTTTTAATTAATAGATTTAGCGTTCTAATTATACATATCATGCGTTTGAAGGTTTGACTGCTGACGCCCGAGTGTTGATCAACCGGGCTCAGGTTGAGTGTCAGTCACATAAATTGACTGTGGAGGACCCTGCTACTTTGGAATACATCACAAGGTACATTGCTGAGCTGAAACAAGCTTACACACAGAGCAATGGACGCAGACCCTTTGGCATTTCATGTCTGCTTGGCGGATTTGACCCTGACGGCACCCCTCGTCTTTACCAAACTGAGCCCTCCGGCATCTACTACGAATGGAAGGTGCGTGTATAATAATTAATTACATATTTACAATGGTACTAGAGTGAATTAATGCATTTCAATATCAGAAAGTATTAATATATTTTAAGTATTTTTATTTTTGTAAATACGCACCCTTTTATATTAAATTTACCTTTTGTCTTACAAAATATTGATTTTTATTACAGGCCAACGCCACTGGCCACAGTGCCAAAACAGTATTAGAATTTCTGGAAAAGTACTACACTACTGAAGAAGTGGCATCGGAGAGGGGTGCTGTAAAGTTGGCTATTAGGGCTCTCCTTGAAGTTGTCCAGTCTGGCCTTAAAAATTTGGAAGTTGCTGTTATGCGCAAAGATGCACCTCTGGAGGCAAGTTTTTTTTTTAATTCTTGGAATGCATATGAGATTAATATGCAAATAATTTTTTTAGATGCTTGATGCTGAAAAGATCAATCAATACGTGACTGAGATTGAAAAGGAGAAGGAGGAAGAGGCAGAGAAGAAGAAGCAGAAGAAATAATCTCTTATGGTTACTGTGAGTGCTGAAGGCATATATTAATTAATTTCTTTGTCTGGTTTGTAAATTCTATTAAACGCTAAAATGATTTCCATTCAAACATAACTTAGATTTTATTTGATAAATCGTAACAATAATTTTAAACTTTGAAACTTTTAACAACATTATTTGTGGAGTGACCGTTTTAATAAATGGTCAGATCGAGTCAGATCAAATCACAAATTTCTGATACCTCAAGAATGTGCTCAAATGGAATAGCTTCCTCCTGCAGTAACTCATCTTGCAGGTATCTCATGTCTTGATCTAAATAACTGTTCCTGAAAGATTCAAAATGATTAATAGAATTTTTTATTAAGTCAAAATAAGAAATTATACCATGGAGGAGCGAAGAATGCATTTGGGTTAATAGTACCCGACACATTAGGTGAAGAAGGGCAGTTTCCATTGAGCATCACCCTCTGAGGGTCTGCAAATCTTTATCATAGGTTTACAACTTTAAATTAATCAAAGTAGTACCTCTTTTTGGTGGAGGTGGATACATGACTGGTTTGTTGGACACATCTAAGGTAAATGAGCTCTGGCTGCTTTGATTGCTGCTTGTCAATCCTGTAGGCAACTGCAGGACTTGGTCGACGTTTTCTTGAAGGACTTTCCTGAATTGGTCCTTTGGTAATTGAAAGTTATTTTACAATTTTTATAAAAAAAAAAATGCGATTCATGCTTACTCTAGCTTGCACCACTATTTCTTCAATTTCTTCTTTCTGCAGCACTGGCAATTTTATGGTTTCTATGGCTTGATTCTCCTGACTAGACTCACTGTTGTTTGTCTCCTGACTAGACGAGAGGCTGTCCGTAAGGGCTGCAGCGTTCAAGGGTCGCCTAGCTTGTCTTACTGGCTGAGACCGAGTCTTCACAGTGAAGTTCTCAACAGAGCTCAAAGCCACTCTCTTGTCTTTGGTTTTTCTTTTGGCATCTGATTTGGCAGAATACTTTTTGTAAGGTCTACGAGAAGTAGAAATTCTCCTTGAGAAATTGCTCAGTAATTCTGGTCTGTCCTTTTTAAAATTAGGACTTTTGTACTTGAAATAGGCGTCACTTTCCTCATGGTGGATTTGCTTGAAGCCATAAACATTAAATTGCTTTGTGATGCTGAGCAACTTTTTGGTCTTGAACTTTTTTGGTTGGCCCAAGCATTTTTGGACAAACAGCTTTTTCTGTACGAGAACAGCGTCACCATTTTTAGACCATTCCAATCCATTCTTCTCTGAATAGTTATTAATCAAATTCCATAACTTGTAGGGGAATGTGTTAAGAGTTCTTTCTTCACAGGGTTTGATATCACTGTCAACCTGCAAAATAAATTAGATTAGCGTGTAAATTAGATATAATTATTTAGTTTTTTAGTTTGAAAAAGGTAATTTATGAATTATGTGATGTAGTCGAATGCCGTTTTGTCCAACAATTCCTTTTTTTTTAAATAAATATTGTTTTTGACACAATTGAATGTAAACAACAATAATATGTAAAGGAAAAAAACATTCAAGGATTTTAAACCAAAAATTTATATAATTTTTGGGATTTTTTTTTCAAATTAGAAAAATGAATTCAGTGAGAAAATATTATAATAAAAAATGTACTTATAGGTAGAAGCTAGAATTTAAAATTATTTCGTTGCATGTAAATTTTTATGAGACAGAATCAGACAGAGAATACATACTTGTTAATTTGTAGAGAAATTAATTTGCATTTTGGCGCTGTATTATAAAATGGGTATAATGCAAGATTGTTCACAAACCTCGTCGTCCATTTCATCTAACAGCTAAAACAACTCTGTATTTTGGTCGTAATTAATGCCTTCTCATAAATATTTTGCATTGACGAAGGCGTGAATTAGTGCCAATTCAAATGGTTGATCATTTTTCCATGTTTCACAAATTCGCAAAATTGACCGCCAAACCCGTAGATTGCCTCGTTGCTATGGTAACTGAATTCAAAAATTCGCCGCCTCCGGAGCAAAGATGGCTGCGAGTGGCGAACGAACAAAACGCGATCGATTTTTTTAATACATATCAGAGCTAGCAGGCAGGCAGGCACCAGGCAGCAGCAGCAGCGACAGCCTCCTCTCACGAAGAGAAGCACGGGGTTCGTGTACACCAGCAGAACGCACGACCGAACGGACGACGGACGGACGTTCTGTCGTTCCCGAGGCGAAGCGGTCAACTCGCCAAATTTTGATGCCATCGTCTTTGAATAGAAGTTGGTCGCTTGTTTGCCCCTGAACCAATGTCCGGCAGATAATGGTGTGTAAGGAAGAGGTCGTGACGTTGTTTAAGGAGTTTAGCAGCTATAAGCGTGTGGACCTGATGTGTACCTTGCTGAATATGTGCCTGCCCTTCGAGCTGCGCTTCTTGGGCACGTGCCTCGAGGAGCTGGGCAAGCGGGACTACTCTCAGCTCAGGGAGTCCGAGTCTCGCGCCAACAACCAGGCCGAACTGGCCGACGTCACCTGCGTTGCTGACAAGCACACCAGACGCATTCTCACCGTGTACCTGTCCCTTCTGCACTCGACCAACCAGGCGTGCTCCAACATGATCTTCAAGACGTTGGCCTCGCTCGCCCAGGACGACTACAACGAAGTGATCCAGCTGCTCCGAGGCGCGGCGAGCGACGATTCGCCCGAGGACAACACCCTGGAGGAGATGCTGCTGCTCTACACCATGGCCCTCAACCACCCAGCTTTTAGTTTCGAAGAGAAGGCCGTGCTCGGAAACATTCTGCTCCGGCTGCAGGAGGAGGAAGACAAGAGGGTGTACCCGCAGAAGAGAGCCTTAGTTTGTGTCAAGACTGGAATGCCTGTACGAAAAAAATTAAATCTTATGTATCCAGTTGTCTCTAGGGCAGTACTGACCCTTTTCAATATTTTATTTTTCATTCAATTTATAAAATATTGATCTATCCTTCCTGAGTCAAACTGGAATTGAGCTTTTTTCTGTTTTACTTACAATTCTTTCATTTGCAGTCCATGTACATGCCTTGCACACCATGCACCATAACCCCAGATGGCACTGGAGCTCAGCACTTTCCTATTCCAGGAAAACCATACCACCTGCTCCCAGCAACAGCAGTTGCTACAGGTTTGTTTCATGTCTTGAAAATTTTATAAAGTCTTCAGTAAATTGATGAAGAAATTATTGTCGTAAATAATGATCATCTAAGAATAATTTTTATGGCCTTCCGTGGCTTGTAACTTATTTTTTAAATAATACTTGCTAAATACTACTTGATTAATAACTATTTTGCAAATATTTTCAGGTGATGGCAGCAAAGGACTTCAGGAAATGCCAGGACCATACTTTCTCACCACCTCCATGTTCTGCAGCATGCCACCTCCGAATATTGTTTCCCCAGTGCCTGCTCCGGCAGGCGCCTCTTCAGAGTTTGCCATCTGTCAAACAGCTCCATATACCGTGCCTGCCATGTCTCAACCTCTGTGCCATCAACCTGATCTTGTGGCGGCAACAGTTAACAACCAATACCCTGTCAATGAACCCCTTTCACCCTACGCCTCACCCACAGCAAGTCCAACAAGATCTCCCGATGCTAGCAGGTCTGTTAATTTCAAAGAAGTCCAAATTTTAAATAACATAATTGTGTGGTAGAATTTCACGATCGAGGGTCGATTCTTAGTGATTTGAATTTAAAATCACCTTTTGGTTTTTTTAAACAGTGAACAACTCACATAATCCTTCAAGGGGAAGCCAATTTTTTATATACAAATCACCATGAATTAATTGGCTATTTATATATATATATATAGAATTATTGCCCCACGTAATTTGAAAATTTAACAGCTATTTTTATGAAGATAATTTATTTAATCTTAAGAACGGGACTCCATTTGATATAATGATAATATTATTATTGGTTTTGTGAACATTCGCTATCTACGAGGATCATAAGCCGGGCAATAACAAACATAATATTATCATCATAGATGTGAATCGCCTGTTTGGAACACAAACTCTGGCCAGCCAACAACAAACTACAAAAACTGCTACACATCCCCCAACCACAATGAAACTAGCAGCTCAAGCAGTACATGTAGTGGGGGCAGCACAGCTGGAGGCGGAGGTAATTCATTCCGCGGCAGCCGCTCCAACAACCACCTGCGCAGTAAACAAGCAATGCAAAATGGCCAAGCTACGATGGAAGAACCAAGTTCAATATCTCCAGTGAAAATGGAGCCTGTATGCAATTTTCTTTTCAATTTTGTGGTACATCAATTATTTTGATTAAAAACTGTTACAGCTTCGAATAACCAGCGATGAGACCCTTCCTGACATGATGTCGACCATGACTCTTGGAGCTGTGAATGGTGTTACGGACCCAATTCGGGGTCATCGGGTGCATGGTGACGACAAGAGGTGTTGGTCCACCGCAGGGCCTCCCTTAGTCCCACAAACTGGCTCTGCGGGCAGCAGTCAATCGGGGACTCCAAGTCCTCCTGGCACTCCCTCCGAGCAATGGGAGAATTGTACGTGTTGCTTGTTTCCAACTTTCTCACTAATGAATTATTGAACATTGCAGACAAAGAAGAAAGTTCCGTCGCACCACGCTGGGACAAGGGGCCAAGGGGAATCGCAGGCGTTTCCAACTCACAGGCACGTTTTAATGCTCACTTGCGGGGACCTCCACTGAGGAGGAACATTCACCTTGATCAGAAAGTGCAGGACACTCGACGGCAGACGGCACAGCCTCCCATGATTCACTCTTCGTACATCTTGCCCGCCCTTCAGCACGTCCAAGGCAACAACACTGCCTACTATCCTGTAAACAACATGTGGAGTATTCCGAATTTTCTGGAAAGTACTGACTGCAGGGTGTTTCAGCAGAGTCCATTTTACTTTCCGCTGATGCCTGCACCTGGAGCAGCCTCTGGCCCAGCCAGCTACCCCACTTCCTTTGCCCCTAACGGCAATATTCCTCCACCCCCTCCAGAGTACATGTCCATGCCCCCAGCTTCGCAGAAGTCGCCTCCACCCTTTACCACCATGCAGCAGCAACACTTCATACCTGCTAAACACAATTCCTCCCACTTTGTTCAATCAAACATGTTTCCCCACGTAATGACTTCTCAAAGTAACAAAGACACATGCTTCAACTGTGGAGGTGTCGGTCACAGAGGGAATGACTGCTCAGACCCTTCAATTCAGGATGTCCTTAAGAAAGGTACGAATGCAGCTTAAATTAAGCTCTTATTTAATTTGTTTTATTATTCCTGCAGGAATGTACCACTTAGACTACTCTAGTCCCCAATCGTCAGATGCTAGTGCAGCACCAGCTGTGATCCTGGGCAGTGGGGGCAGCAGCACGCCACAGTCTGCTCCCCCCGCGCTGGAGAAGTGACAAAAGGATGTGCCTCCCCTGTTGCCTTTGCCAAGTAGTCCTCCACTCGCGAGGAACCGACACCAAAGGTTGGTTGTCTCATGGCCCAGGCGGCACCATCAAAGAACAAACAACAACACTTACACTAACAATAACATAATTAACAACAACTACCATCACAACAGTGGTCGAAACTACCCATCCCAACAGCAGCACCCAGTCACATTTCTGTTGGTGTGGCCGCAAAACCAGTCCTGTTCATCTTCAAGCCACGACAGTAGTCATCGCCACCGCAGTAGACTCCATTGACGGCAGAATAACTCCTGAGATTTGTGTGCGCCAATGATTCTAATCACTGTTATACTTTTACAGATTAATACTAGGTGTTCCTACTACTTAATGGCATCAGTCACTGTGTGCTCTTTCAAACTGTGGCTTAATTATAGTCGAAAGTCAAATGATGAAGGGTTGTACTGTAGTGATCAACTTATGTGTTGTGGGTTGATTGATTTCTCACTTGAAAAAGAATGTGTTACCCATCCTGTTGACAATTCCAAAGATATTAGATAACTTAAATTTGGGTTTTTTTAGTACTTAGATGACTCTGTTTTAATTATAAGCTGCCTATCTGCCATCAAGGCCTGTCTTTCTAAGGCCTTGCAAATTCTTTTTAGTGGAGAGTGGTGGAGAGCAGGTGGGGAGGGGAACTTTTTCTCAGATTTCTATGTGATGTTTGCTCGACCGGATTGCTCGACTTTTTGCTCATCTAAAACGGATAATTTTATTATTCAACTTGGAACCATCTTGAATTTTCACGTTTGTAGTGGAATACGTCTTAAGTAATTTCCATTTTAAAGAACCTTAATTGTCTGAATATCCCTGCTTCATCTTCAATGAACCTTTATAAGAAGTTGATAAACCGAGAGTGAGCAAGTCAGGATTTAAATGTTGTATAGATCTTTTTTAAAAATTTAATGCTTTCCCCCAAATGGATGATAATTTATTTAGTTCCTTTGTTGTAAGACACTGTAAATTGTGAGAAGGGCCTGTTGCTTAAAGAGCGGATACAATAGTGTAACACAATTTGGCTTTTCTCACACAAATCGCATCACATTTTCTGAGCTTCCATTCCTCAAAATGGAGCTTGAGCACAAATAATTTTGTACCATTACTACTGTAATGTTGCTTTAATATTTATATTATTTATTGTTCTTCACAATCAGTGGCATTACATGAAATTTTAAACAAGACTAAAGATTATTTGTAGCACATATTGAAAATAATCTAATTTTTAACTAGTTCAAACTCATGCCATTTAATAGACGTTGTGTGCGATGGAACTTAAAATGTTTTTTTCTAGCCGCACATTACATAAAAAAACTAATCACACTTCCAAGTGTCATTGTCAACAATTTTGAGTTCCCTGAGATGTAGGATATATGTGCCATTTATAAATGATTTACCAACAAATTTCTAGTGAAATAGTGTATTCTATGATTATTGTAATTTGCATAAATTCACAAAAGCGAGCTGGGGCTAAATGTTTAAATTTTGAGAGGTTGGGAGTTGAAAATTTTGTCAAGTGGCGCCATAATTCCAAAATGTTTGAAATGAATGCAGTTGTTGAAGCTAAATTCATTGATTTAGGCTGTGTAAGAAAAGGCAAAATTCGAACTACGTATTTTCAATATCAGTGAGAATAAAAAACCCATAATTTGAAATTGAAGAAGTTTGCACAGTTTAAGTAGGGTGTGATTCGAACTTCTAGCTAAACCCTGTCGATGATTACAAAGTCCGTTATTTATATGATATGTTATTAAAAAAAATTAAGGCTATTTCGGTCCGCTCGAAGAAGTTTTGATTGTTAATAATCAAACATAATCTGTGTGTTGAAAACAAAACCACTGATGTTTCATACTCCAACACCGATAAAATAGGCTATGCCACTTTAAAAGTTGATATGTGCATGAGACGGCGTAACTTCCTTATTTCTTCCGTTCATCAGGAAGTGCGCTACAAAGTGTTGAAAGTTCACTCTTACTGTTTGTGATTACTGTGAGAAAAAATACAACTGCTGGGCTGAGATTGAGATTTTTATATTTTAAAAAATGGAGCTGTTTGTTACATACTTTTACATTTATTATGTGTAGGTTCAAAGCGTTTGAAGATTTTCCAATACCAAAAGAGGTTGCAGCTATAATTACCAAGCAATTGGTGTTGAAAAAGCAGTGTTCGCATGCAATGCTAGACCAGGAGTATTGAAATTTTTGCCAAATTTTTACCATTATCGTTGTAATGAAAGTTGCATTTCAAATGTGAAGACATTTTTTTAATCATTGTCAATATTATTTCATAGCTGTACCAAAATATTTTGGTTGATTTTGAAAATTGTACCAATTCACCACATTTCGACTTTTGAAACTGCTCTATGACAATGAGACTGCCAATTTAAACAAAACCAGTTGCTTGGCATTAATAAAATTACACACAGTCCTGGCGTCATAGTAAGTGCAGAAAATCTTTAAGGAAACAATAACGATTTATGATAATAATTGAAAAATTTACATTTAAGGAACTCTACATTACAAAGCAAGGGTGTAAATTTAATATATAAAGAAAATCTGATCATATTTAGCTTTAACCAACTCATTATTTGTGAAATCTTGTGGAAATTTTGTGTCTTTCAATTGACCACAAACACTTTAATTGAACGTGAAAAAAAAATTCTGCTGTATTATAAAATGAGAAATATATAGATGAGCTCTGTGTGTCCGCTGCGAGAAATTCCGTCTGCATATCGGGCAAGATGAATTATTATCAAAAGAGAGAATTCACTGTTTATTAGAGTTACTGGTGCGATCGAATCAAATCATCACCACACCTAATAAATTATTATATTTGTAAGTGCAGACAAGAAAATTGTTATCATAATAAAAGTGATAAAAATTTGGATTATTTCATAAATTTATTGCAGTTTTAAAGAAAGCTAATTATTATTACGATGTAATTATTTATAAAATAAAAAATCTAAAAAGATGTGTTCAAAAATAAAATGCCTGATGGACCCTGCAACTACTTACATAAATATATGTTATAAAAATTAAAAGTAAATTTTAAATTTTGCCATAATTTACATTAAAAATAATTATTAAATTTTAGTAACTATTTTTTATTACACTGACATTAAAAGTTTTAAATTTAATGAAATTAAAAAAACTGAAATAATACTTCGAAATAAATTTTTAGCTTTTGCAATCTTTTCAATAATTCTAAAGGACAAATTTAATATTTAAATTATTTATGATAATTTTTTTTATATGAAAGTCGATGAGGACTTTTTTCATATAAATTTTAATTTTTGCGTGCCTTTGGTGCTGATGGTGGCACCAAGAGACACTACTTCTTTTCCCAACGCTGATGCTCCCCTCCCCTCTCGCGGCTGAAATGTGAGCCCAATTTACTCCTCTCGCGAGGAGGAGAATCATTTGTGAGAGGAGAACGAGACGTCGCGAACGCATCTTGTGGATGAGAGGCTGGGATAGGCAAAAACAGTCGAGTCAGTTCAGTCGGGATTCAAGTTAAAACCCAAACAAATTCGGCCATAATATTCACGAGAGGCACCTCGGCGGACTGCAAAATTCACCACTTCTCGGGCTCTGCATCGCCGCGTGATTCGAGTTGCAGGCCAGGTGCGTTGGCGGAACAGCAGCCGAAAGAAAGACGCCGACGAGAGTGACATGTTTATGTTGTGACCCGTAAATAATAAGAGACTGCTTTGCTGTCCGATTCGTCATGTCCAACAGACAGGCCCAAACCTACAAAGTGGTGGTCGTCGGTGGCGGCGGCGTCGGCAAATCGGCCATCACCATCCAGTTCATTCAGGTGATTATTTTTTTTTTTTTTATATTTGTCCTGCGGGGTGTGACTTTATTGGCAAGTCAAAGTTTCCACTTGTCTCTTCAACCGAAGCACTGCATATGCATAGAGGCAGCTTTAACTTTTTTTTCATAATTTTAAGTAAACTGAATAACATTATGTTGCTAAATATAGATAATTATATATTAATTTTATCACCCAAATTGCATTATTTGATTAATGTGTATTATTTATGACATACATACTTATTTTATTATCTTGCAGAAATTTTCTTAAAATAATTTTTTTCTTCATATGCAATATTCCAGTTATATATACCAAATTATTATTTCTGAAGCAAAAAATAAATAAATTAAAAAATAAATCATGTAAGGAAAAGGAGACATTTTTAGCAATGATTGGAATTAACAGAATTATTATTGTAAATTTGACTAGACGCAGTGTCGCTAGTTATAATTTTATTTAAAAAAAATCGCACTTCACTACAAAAGTTGTGATCTTTTGTTGGAAGATCCACAATTTTTGCAATGCCGAGAAGCATCATTATTATTTATTTTGCAACATTGGATTTCCAAAAAAGAGAAAAATTGATGTTAATTTTTCTCAAATACATCAAATTAAAATAATGCATTATTATATTTAATTAAATTGCCGCTATTATACTTGAAAATTTATCCCTTAATGCAGCCTTAATGTATATTTTGTAAATATATTCATGTGAGTCAAATTAATGCACTGTTATTCTATTTAATTAAAATCGTTAAACTCTATGCAATGAACGTGTGCATTATTCCGCCAGATTTGTGGAATGCTGGGCGGCCAAGGTTTTTTTTCTAAATATTGACACACGCGGCACAATCGAGCGCGATTCCAATTATGGAAGTGCGATGAGGTCAACGCATGGAGATTGTGTCTGAAAACGGGAATTAGCCTTCTTAGCTCGCGGTTGATGAGCCTCGTTCGGTCTCCGCTGCCCCAGTTCACTTTGATTCGCGTGAAAAGAGTTCACTTAACCCGAGAGACCGACCGCATTGTCCGCATCCAAGGTAGCGTCCGTCAACTGCACCACCTCTTTTCCTCTTAGTCTGTTGATTCATCGCAGATTCGTTTTGCCCTTTATAAGTAAATTTCACTCATAGATCTTTTCAGAGAAGATGAAGAAAAAGAAATTAGGATTCATTTCATAAAAAAAAAATTACACCGAAACTAAAGCTTGTATTTATTTGACGGAATTGGATTTTTTTTCATGAAATTTTTTATTTAGATTTGTTAAAATTTTAATTAAAATATTTTTTTAATTTTAATTTCGTTCATTTTCGCAAAGAAAAAACAGCTGGTCGTTTTCAAATCCCTCCAATTTGCAGTGGAGATGAACATAATTATTTGTGGAAGATAATCTTAATTTTTTTTTTTTTAGATAAAATAAACAAGGTTTTGCGATTGGCACACTTGGCGCCGGGCGGAAAGTCTCTCGGTCCTAATTGCATCTCGAAATGTGCAAACACATGTATAATGCTGCTTATTCGAGCCAAGTGAGCTCATCCGAGAAAAGCAAGAGCAGCCTTGACGCAACCCTGGACCTTTTCCAAGACGACAACTCATTCACAGAATTAAGGCGGCGGCAAAGCGACACAAAACAAAGTTGCAAATTAGCCACCAGCGGAATTCGCTCGATCCGCCAAACCGTTCTCTCAGATTGACGATTCCACTAATTGAGAAATTTTATTGCAATGAACTTAAATTTCATGCAATCAAAATATTACATAGCAATTTCATAGAAAAGTAACATTGGAAAAAAATTAAGAGATCAACTAATATCAGCTACTGGAAATTCAGGTTTAATAATTATTAAATTTAAAATAGTTTATTCCTCATCTGTTTGTGTGAAAAATTAAATTATATTTCAGAGTATATAATTTCTTATAATTTTGTTTCATAATTATTTTTAATTTGATTGAAATCGAGTTTTGTTAGAATATGATAATAATTATCTTCCGATTTGTAGCCGAATTGTGAAGAAAAACGCGTATTTTATTGATAAAGTAGTTAATAAGAGGTAAAAAAAAAATATGAAATTAAATTTAAAAAAAACGAAAGGTGCTAAATATGGAGCCTAATTTTTATTTGTCCGCTCGCAAAGCGGCTAAAGCGTCAAGTTTTCAAATAAAGTTAAAACCATTTGCTTGAACGCTGATAAATTTAGCTCCTTTGAGAGGACCCATGACGATCTCTGTGATTTTTTTTTTTTAAATTTACGGCCTGAACTCCGCTTTCCCGCAAGTAATTTGTTCACTTTTTATTATCTCCATTTTAGCATGACCAATAATTATTTCAAAATCATTGAAGTGATTGTTCTCCTTCTCAAATTAATAATTAAATATTAAATCTGAAAAATCCTGATTCAGATCCTGAAGGAGTCTCTTCTATTTTTGTGTCTGCGGCTTTGCGATCCTCTTTGTTCACTTGCGCTTTCAATCAGCGCCGAGGCCACTGCCAGGGCCGGCGGCGGCCAACGGCCAAGGTGGCGGTGGCCCACTTGGCGCCCGCTCCTTACAAGGTCCTCGTCCGTCGCGCTCGCGGCAGTGACGTCACCGCACCCGCCGCGTCAGCTCCTTTCTGTACGAATTCTGCCCGCGCCAGATGGCCCGAAAATAGGCCCTTCTTTGTTTTGCCTTGTGCAACCGCGAGGCGCACACGCTGCATCTCGCGAGCGCAGCTTATCAACACAAATTCCGACCCTTATCGACCGAGTCGCCGCCGGTGTGCGTCAATTGCGGTTTCTTCGACCACTTGACGTGCAAAATATTCCTGGAATGCTTTCATTATCTCCTTGAACTCGATCCGATCATTTCCACCGCAGATGTCTTCATGAATAATAATCGTAGTTTTAATATTTAATTCAAAATAATTTTATTTTGCAATTTTTTTTTCTTTATTTTCAGGCAATTTGAATAAAATAAAGTGTATTTATAATAATCTGATGACTAATAAATACTGTAATAAAATCGTCTGCCAAATTTGCTGCGTTAATTTAAAGAGAGGGAGCCAAAATCTTAAAAGTGTAATTTTAAGTAAAAATATATTTTATTCTGAAGAGAAAATTAAAGGATTCAATTGAAATTACAGTTGAACTATTAAAAAAATCGCTTCTCATATTATTGAAAATATAATTATTATTTATTCAATAATTTAAAATATTTGAAAAATAAAAAAATAAAATGCAGGGATTGCAGTTTTTTCTTTATTTTAACGGTGCTGAATTTTTTAATAATGATTGGAAATTACAAAATAATGCTATGGCTAATCTTGACCATAGAATTATTATAACCAGTGAAACTCCGGATTTCGTGCTTTTCGGTGCTTTTATTTTTTTATTCTTTATAAAGTTAATTGCAATGGCTCGACTTAGGACTCCATTGTTCCACCCACGTCAATTAGGAGATTTTATTTTATATATGGCTAAAACTTTTTGCGTCCATTCATTAGCAACCACTCTTCCGAGAATGGCGAGAGGGCGTCAGGTATGGGTGGAACTTTGCTTTTCCTTGATGCATGTGTTTTGCATCAGGCCTGTATGGAAATGAGGAACGTTGCGCTCGTAAAACGTCGCGCTAAATGAATAAATTCACATGCACGAGGGGTGCGTAGGTGTGACGAGAAAAGAGACGATGCGGCCACAATTGGCACTCCTTTTTGCTCTCACTCTGGCAGCAGCCAGGAGTGGTCACACTTTTTCAAGGCTCGAGCGTTTTTAAGAAACAAAAATATAAATATATAAAATGTGATTCTCTGCCCACACACTTGCTCCATAATCCGGTTTTATGAGCCCCTGCGAATAAACATGAAAATTATGACACTATTCTATTGATACATTTAAAAGGATAAAAATTTAATGAATTTAATCAGCTTGTTTATGAATTCTTTCTAATTAATTTGTATTATTTTGTTGCAGAGCTATTTTGTGACTGATTACGACCCCACCATTGAAGACTCGTACGTCAAGCAGTGTGTCATTGATGATGTTCCGGCAAAGCTTGATAGTGAGCATTTTTTTTTTAATTAATTATGTTCACAAGTGATTATAATTTCCTTCCATTTCAAGTTCTGGACACTGCCGGACAGGAGGAGTTCTCGGCCATGCGAGAGCAGTACATGCGTTCCGGAGAGGGTTTCCTTCTCGTCTTTGCTGTCACCGACAGAAACAGCTTTGACGAAATCTACAAGTTCCACCGGCAGATCTTGAGGGTCAAAGACCGGGACGAGTTCCCTATGCTGCTGGTTGGGAACAAGGCTGACCTCGACAGGCAAAGAGTAGTGAGAAATTTTTCTTTAAATTTATTATTTTCCTCCCAATTTTTTTACTTTTAAAAATCTAGATTAAATTAAATTATAATCTGAATTTTTTGCAGATTTCTCAAGCAGATGCTGCTGCCCTGTCGAGACAGTTGAAAATTCCGTACATCGAGTGCAGCGCTAAACTGCGAATGAACGTGGACCAGTCCTTCTTTGAGCTGGTTCGCCTCATCAGGAAATTCCAAGAGTCGGAACGACCCCTTGTCAAGCAATCACTACGAAACAAGAAGAGGGGCTGTGTTGTTTTGTAATTTACAGTTGTCTTTGGAGAAAAGTGCCTTTAACACAAACTAATCAAACTATTTCATAGATTTAAACACTTGTCTTGTAAGAGTGTCATTTCCACGCATTGAAAGGATTTTGCTTGCTATTTTTATTTGGCGCTCTTCCCTCAAATTGTTTCCACCAGTTTTTTTTTAAGCAAAAATGCCAAATTGAGAGTTAATCTCAGATTTATGTACTATTTATGCAAAATGACTTCATGTGATAGATCTTTTTGACAGGAGTGCTTGCATGTGAAATACGCCATTGTTTTTAATTTTAACCGGATGTGACACGCACAAGTTTCATTTACGTCAAAGTGCTTCCTTGTTTATTGACAGATTTTTAGCTAGTGATTTCTTCATAGTGTTTAAACTCTCCTGCTTGTTAGGAAAATGTTTGTTGTCTGAATAATTTTGGTTCCTACATCTCTGATGATAAAAACAAGCAGAGGAGTTTTTCCTCTAAATGCCTTGAAAACTTAAAACTGCCAGTAACCATCCTGATAAAATTTAGATTTTTATATTATTTTCATCAAACTGATGCAAATCAAGTAATTAGAAATTATTAAAATGAATCAACTTTTAATTCTGATCATTGAAAATGCAATTTGCATGGAAAATCATAGCTTTTAACGATCATAAATAGTGAAAATTGTTAGTCAACTGCAAGGAAAAGTGGGAAAAAGTTCTTTTGTATTCTAATGTACTATTTTCAAATTATCCTTTTCAATTAATGAACCACAATGAGTGTCACAATTGGCAAGCTATAACTCAGTGCCTTAAATATATCTTGATCTAGAACTTAACAGTGCTTTTTATTTTCAAAATAAAAAAAAAATCATTAAAAATCTGGAGGTTTTTAAAATAATTTAAACCCTTCCTCTTTATATGCACAATAAAAAAAGGATGAGCCCACGTTTCATAAAAAGTTTAAAAAATATACCATTGCTCATTTCTTTATATCCATAAAAAAAATTCGAAAATAATATTAAACAGATCAGATAATTATATTATTATTGTTGCCAATTACTGCACCAATCTAATTATATTGCACATAAAGTATTCATGCGCATTATGCATACACAAACACAACATGTCATAGAATATGTTTAACTTAATTTTCAAACATATTGACAATGATTTAATTGAAATTTGTGAAATAAATTAAATAATAATGATGTGGCGTTCTTTTCCCACAACATTGGCCAAAAATATCATAATTGAATCTGTTAAATAATTATGGCCTTATTATGAAAACATAAGAAATGCTGTCTATTCCATAATCAGAGCTAGCTTTCTTTATTCTCATACATAAATAGCATCACCAAATTCTCGGATCATTTTATGGCGCTTAATTAAAAGGACTTTGTATTAAACGCTTTTGCGTACAACTGGGGTGCAATGCAAACACCCTTCTCAACACGAAATCCTGCGGCCCTCGGCCGACCTTAGCAAAGAACAACCCTTCACTCGCGCAGCGCATCCCGCCAAACATGCATGAAAGGCGCCTTTCGATTCAATTACGATTCGGAGCCCAATCAGCGTCGAGCTCTTGAGAGCGCTGGTGTCGCATGCGGCCAGAAAAAACGAAAAAAGAGAGTGTTTGGCGGACGAAAACAACAACAAACTGTCCAGAGATAAAGGAATCAATGAACTGTCCTCTTGAAACATCTTGAACTTGAACCTCACTTTTTCCAAATTATTTCTTTCTCTACAATGGAGGTCCAAACAACTCTAGCCCTAGCTGACAGTTCATCTGATGACTCGTCTAGTTCAACTAGTTCTGACGACGATGAAATCATTGCGGTATGCATACATAATACAAATTTTCTTGTTTTATATTTGTATGTATAATTTTCTTAATTTTCATTCACATTCACACCCTAACTTAAAATCACGCACTAGAGTTATGTGTTTAAAATGAGAAATAAATTTTTATAAGACCAGCTTAGCTAAGAATTGTATTATTAGAATACTTTTATTTGAAACTCATTTGAGTACAACTTCAACTTAACTTAGAGAATTTTACAAAGCAATTTTCAATGTGGTGCGCGACAAAATAAATTCAAAGTCTTTCACTTCATTTTTGAATAGAATATAATATATTATGATAATTTAAAATGATGTGTATTATATGTAATTTAATTTGGAATTTTTATAAATATAGTTGGCCTGGCTTGAGCAGCAACGAAGAGGGCTTCGCAGTATTCAAAGGCTCAGGAGGGAACACCAAAGAAAAACACGCCGAACTCAAACCATCCTCTCAATGATGTTGGCATCGATGAATTCGGGTCGAGGAAAGAATCGGTCAGTTTGGATTCACCCGGTCATCAAGGACAAGAAGGACAATTTGTGGGACCGAACCAAACTACTGGACGATGCCGAGTTTGTGAAGAAATACAGACTTGGCAGAGCTTCATTTGACTTCATACTAGAGAAAATTTCGCCTGTTTTGAAGAAAAATGATACGAACTTGCGTAAAGCTCTTCCTGCCGACTTCCGAATGGCTGTGGCCGTTTACGTTTTGAAAAGTGGTTGCTATTCGTCGGTAGCCGCCAACGTTTTCAAAGTGGGTGAAAGTACTGTGCCTGTTTTACTTCATGAGTTTTGCAAAGCTGTCAACCAAGTATTGCTGACCGAGACGATCAAATTTCCAAAAACCAAGGCTGAAAAAGAAGCCGCAGCAAAGGATTTTTGCGAAAACTGGCAATTTCCCAACACTATTGGAGCCTTAGATGGCACTCATTTCCCAATAGTGTCTCCTAAACTGAATCCTCAGAATTATTTAAACTACAAAAAGTACAATTCTCTGGTTCTCTTGGCACTTGTTGATGCGAATTGCCAATTTTCTTATGTAAATGCAGGAAAGCCAGGGGGTGTCAGCGACGCAGAAATTTTCCATGCTAGCCAGCTCGAGAGCATTTTGACTGACGAAGACAAGATGGGTGACATGCATGTTGTAGCCGACGAAGCTTTTCCACTGCTTAAAGGTCTCATGAAACCGTTCCCAGTTACAGAGCAAATGTCCGAGCGTGAAGAACATTTCAATGCTCGCCTTTCGAGGGCCAAAAGTGTTGCTGAAGAAGCATTTAACCGTTTAAAATCTCGTTGGAAGATTCTTATGAAGCGATCAGATTACAATGTTGAAAATTTGAAAGAGATCATAAAGACCTGTTCCATCTTGCACAATGTGTGCCAGAAATTTGATGACAAATTTTACGATTCATGGCTGACTAAGCTGGTTGCATTCGATGCACGTTTTCCGCAACCTGACAGAATTTTGAAAGGTACGGAGAATGTGTTTGCTGTGGAAAAAAGGAGTAATTTGACTGAGGAACTCTTCAATGACAATGTAATCTTCGAATATGAAAAATAACCATTTTTTGTGTGATGCAAATTTTTGGTATAAAATCCACAATAATTCTGTAGCAATGTAAATAAAAAAAAAACTATATCTGAAATTTGTGTTTTTTTAATCTTTCTTTAGATCATTTGGTGATACTGGTTTACATCAGTTTACATAAATAATTGGATCAGTTCATGCAAGTGCTATGCAAAAAAATGTTGAAACTTGAAAATTTTTACACTAAAAGCTATTGATTGGAAAACTTAAATTGATTACACAGAAGTGGATTTGAGGTTTTGTACTTAGAATGCCATTTTGTAATTTCTCTGCCAACAACATTAGAACAAGTTATTGGTTGTTTTGGCCGACTCGAGAAGTTCCTTCGACAGAACAACATATCTGGTTGGTGTTTTTGGAGCCTGCTCCTGAGCCAGTTTTTGCAACTCTAGTTTTTCAACCTGCACTTTAGCACGAAGTAGTTCATTTTCGAGCTCCACTTTTTCTGCTTTGGCTTTCGCAATTCTCGTCCTTTGACTGAGCAATTCAAATGTCAGAGCACTGGTCTTCTTCTCCATCTCCAATCTCTCTTCCTCAATCTGGACCAACTTCTTTGCGATTCTGCTATCCTCCTTCATGGACTCGCTCAGCTGGTGGTAATAATTGGCCATTGGGGCCGCGCGTTGTCTCAGCCTCGTCGTATTGACGATCTTTGGATTTCTGCCAATTGATCTGTTCACAGTGAATTTCATCCTTTTATTCTGTCCATTGCCCTACATTAAATTTTTTTTTTTAATTAAAAAGATTGACTTTAAACAAAATTACATACATCTTCTTCAGCATCAACAGGCGAGACATTCTCTTCAATCACTTCAAATTCTGGTTCTCGAGATTCCATAACACTCTCGTCGCCCTCGAAATTAGAGGAGGTAAAAAGAGTCTTCATGTTAACAAACAATGGGTCATCGCTGGAGGAGGAATCTGGAATAGATTGATTGACAAAAAAAAAGATTAAACAAAGTCTTATGTATTATTCGGTTGAAATTACAAACCTGATTGCGGGATCAGCAATTTGAAAGCTTTCTTGGAATTTTTAAGCTTCGTTCGGATCTCTGCTGTCGTTTTGCTAACCTTGTGGGTTTCGAGCAGGTAATTTCTTATTTTTTCAGACTGGGCATCCCCACGTAAGTTCTTGGTTTCGGGGTCGTTTGTGACTTGATTGTAGGCGTCCGCCAATTTCCGAGTGTGATCTTCGCTCCAGTTTTCAGCCCTTTTCCTCTCCCGCATTTTCAGGAATTGAAGAATCAAATATCAGCAAAAGTTAAAAGAAAAATCTCCGGTAGCACGTAAATATTAATTTCAGCAATAAAAGGTCTAAAGACGGCTGAGATTGGCTGTGATAAACAGACCAAGATACGCAAGATTTGCAGATGTAAACAAATGCACTGCGCAAGCGCGCAGAATCGAGCTTCCCATTTCGGCGCGCACCAGGCGCGGACCGCGGACTTGTTTTGTAGTTTTGTACACAAAAGCGCTTAATAAAAGCATTATTATAATTTGTGATATTTTTTTATTGAGAGAATTGTTGATTTTTAAGGTGCCATTGGCAAAACAAAAGTGAGATGTATTTTCCCATTAAAATGTTTTTATCTTCGGGGAAAAAACTTAAAACATACCATCTCTTCTTTAATATTAAATAATTTAAAATATTATATTTTTTATATTTTAAATCAATACTAGATTTATTAATTAATTCATGTGTATTTATTAAAAAGCAGTCATAAGCAATAATAATAATTTAGTCGCAATTTATTTTAGTTCGTCCGTTCGTTGTATAGCAAATAATTATTAATGTTATTTGCTAGTTTGTGTGAAAAAAACAATTATTAAAAAATTAAAATCTCAAAAAGCATAATTATATAATTTTTTCATCGCTAAAGAAAGCTTAAAATATATTTTTCATGGAATTCACCGCGGTCTCCATTATATTATAATTTTGTCCTTTGCGCGCCACAACCACTCAAGGCCATGTCGGTGAACAGCCGAAGCACCGCCTCATCACAAATTGGTGCCCACATGGGTTAGACGATTATTAACGCGGCCCCTGCGTCGCACACACCATTTATTTCAGGCAGCTTTTTATTTTCATTTTTGAAAGAAGTGTTGGTTTAAATATATAGCACTAAATTTGGTTTATATTCATAAAATATTTCCTTTCTCCTTTTGCTGAAGGGCACAATCAATTCTTCGTTCAAAACAAAAAAATCAGTCGCTTATCAACTTAAATTTAGAAAAACAATCCAAGCAGGGTTAGAAGTCATTTATTTATCGAGCTGCAACAGAAAAGTTGAGTTGATCTCTCGAGGAGCGCGGTGAGTGCTTTTCATTTACTGATCTTGTTGCACTGGGACTGCCACTTAAAAATTTACAGATGCCGACGTTAAACTTGATCGTTGTCTTTACACTCGGAATCGCACAAGGATTCTGTTTATCTGATGAATATGATGCCACTTTGGCCAAAATTATGAACAGATGCATCGACAGCATCAATCACAAACCAGAGCCAGGCGTGGAAGCAATTCTCGGAGGCCAAGTATGATTTAAATTTTGTTTCGAAATTAAAATTATTTGAACAAAATTTAGTGCGCGCCATGGAAAAATCGTTCTTGCTGCTCGCATGAGAATCAGGACAAACTGCATGAATTAAAACTATACAATTTTGACTTTGAGCACTGCTCTCAAAAATTGTCCCCGAAGTGCCGTAAGCACTTCATTCAGGACTTGTGCTTTTACGAATGCTCGCCAAATACCGGACCTTGGATTGTCTCAGGAGTAATATTAATATTTTACCCTTAAATTTTGTATTAATTGGATTTTTTTTTAAAGATTAAAATGAAAATCCGCAAAGAACGGTTTTATAAGGTGCCTCTTTGCCAAAGTGACTGTGAATTTTGGTACGACGCTTGCCAAGACGATCTTACGTGCATCAGAAACTGGATCAGAGACTTTGAGTGGAAGTCGGGCAAAAACAATTGTCCTTTGACTTCACCAGGGTGCAAAAAGTTCAAGCACATTTGGGAAACAGCAAAAGACTTTTGCGAAGAGGTTAGTTATAAAAAAAATTATTTCGGAATGGAAATTATTTTTGAATCATCAACAGATTTGGGACCATTCGTGGGAAGTTGTTCCTGACAACCAAAATTGCATGCGATTGTGGTTCGAGGGAGAAAATCCAAATGACCATGTTGCAATCATCAAAGCTTACGAAATGCTCGGATCGAAAGGAACCCATTTTGGAAGCGCTAGTTTAGCAGCACTGGTAGCTTTGAAACTTTTTCTCATTAGACTGGTCTAGTTTTTAACTTTTAAGTAAGAACAAATCACAAAGTGCTAGCTTAAAAGACAATATTGCTTTAAAAAGCAGTAAACCAACTGATAGTTACTATATATGTGGTTGAAATAGTTTATCAAAATAAAAGATCTTTGCCTTTATAATTTGGGAAATAAAAAATTATATTTTATTTTAATATCACCCCTAATAATTAAATATCATCAATTTATGGTTTCCGATAAAATATAGAATATGAATTATTATGTGAGATAATAAGAACTTACGCACTAGTATGCATTAACAGCCATTCATGAAAGTCCTTTTAGTTTCAAAATGGTTCAAAGGCTTGTAGTTTTACTTTGACACCGACTCAAATATTAGAAGAAAACTGTATCATGTGAAAATGCACCTGCAAGTCTTAGGGACTGATCTTTCACAACAGCATAGATCCTTTGGGGAGATGGTGTTGAAGCGGGAGAGGGAACGCATGCCTTGACTCTCAGCAAAAACTCCCGCTCACTGGGAGCAGGAAAAGCTTGCGGTTGATTTGACTTTTCGTTGAGTTCGTCCGGAATCAAATGAGCAGCCTAAATTCAAAAGAAATTATTCAATAAAATTCAGTTACAAAAAAATCTCACCTTTTGTGCTTGTAAAAACATATTTCGCAGCTTCTGTCCAAAAACGCCTGTTGGCCCATCAGGAACTTCTACTTCCTTTTGCCGCAAAAGATCGCAGAGGAACTTTTTTAAGTCCGACGCCCTGTCCGCAAAACTTTCATCCTGGAATTTTTCCTCGATCGAATTAAACTGCACCACCTTCATCTCCTCTGCATTAATCAGATCGACAAATCGCTGGAATGGTTAATTGTTAATTTCACATAAAATAAGAGTTGAAGATTAATAATTATTGCCGTACCGAGTATTCTTTGTGCTTAGGCGTCATTCCCATGCTTAATCGGCTGGCTTTTTCTTGAAGGGAGTTGTACGCTGAAATTGGAGTTAAATCTTCCAACCACTCTTCCCCAAGTCTACACATTGATGCATGCAGGAGTGTCGGAAGCAGCATTTGAAATGCGTCAGCAGGCTTCTGGCTCTCCAAGTAATACATCACCTACTCATAATTACTTTTTCATTAAAAAAGGAAAAATGTTTTTATTTAAATTGCCTTTTCAGCCTCTTTCGTGTCATCAAACAGCCTTTTTTGTCTGCCGGCAGGCACTGGCTTTGCTGCCGACCACAATTCCTGCCAAGTGTTTCCCTCGATCAACATTCGAGGACTCAGTTTGTTTTCCTCCTCGATCCAATCACGAGGAGAGTACCAGCGGACAAAGTCTCCCAAACATGAGCCAGGGTTTGCAGCCTGAATTTGACAAATTAAATTATATAATTTGCTCAGTTTGATGTGAACTTACTTTGAAAGACTCCATGTCTGAGAGAAGCAGAGGACTCATAATTTGTGCCCTAAGTTCTGATCCCTGGGCGTCATCGCCAAGCATCATCAAGACCTCAGCATCCTCGTGGCGCTGATCTTCAGTTTTTGGAGGTGGTTCCTAAGGATTTAAAATAATAATATAAAAGAATAAAATTTTTTCAAGTTATTTTACTTGTGTGATGGGAATATAAAGAGGTTCTTTAGATTCTATAAGAAGAAGGCTGCCGTCCTTGCTCAATCTACCCTCTGGTTTGTCCCACAAAGAGTGTTTTTCCTTTTTCTTGGGCGCCTCTGCTTCATCATCATCACACTCATAAAACTTGTCCTCCTCTTCCTCACTGGAAGCTCCAGACACGTCTTCAAACTCTGCAAAAATAATATTAATATAAAATTTAACAGAAGATTAAAATTTGTGCTACCATTATCAGAGTCTGCCTGTGATCGCGCCTTCCTCTCCCTATCCTGCCTCCTTTGAATGCAGTAGTTCAGCATCTGACATGAAGAATAATAAAATAATTAATGAAATCTAATCTTCACCTAATTGTACATCAGAAATTTAGCAACAGCAACCTGTGGAACGCGGTAGCTGTGCAGGTTGCCTATAGACTAACAGTGTTACAATTGTGAGTCGGTCATAGAAAATATGCATCATTTTTTATTGCTAAAACGTGCCCTGATAAAGGATTGGTAAAATTGGTTTAAATTTCAAATTTAAAATAAGACACAAGCACAACTAAAAAAATTAAAAATAAATTATACTTTTTGATCAAACTTGTCAAAAAGCAAAATTGAATTAAAATAGAGTTTCAAGCAAGGTTTGATAGAATAATAACTTGAAATGCTATTTTACATTTTTCAAAATTAAAAATTATTTTTCATTGGTGGCGGGAATAATGAAATATTAAAATAATTTATTATAATTACCTGCAGCTTCTGGTAGAGAATGCAAGATCTGAGATCTGGGCAGCCAGGCACAAGTCTGAAACAGTGGCAAATAATAAAAAATTAGACCAAAAAAATTCAACAAAAGAATTATTAAAAATTCTCATGAAATAGGCTCAATAATAGTTCCCCACTTAACACAATTTTCCTCTCATCTGCACGGTACCGCTTTCAAGCTAATTTACTTAAATAAACGTGTAGCGGTTTGCAGAAGTGGCGAACAATTATTATTATCGCCGCTGCAGCAGAAATACATAAAACATCAAATTATGCAACCGACAGATAAAATCATCTCGCGCGTGTATTACGGTATTGCATGGCCGGCAGTTCAGTTGGAAACAAATTAACGAGCAAGACGCAAGGAAGAGTTATCTCATATTTTTAACACACACTGCCTCTTGACCTTCATTATCGCACATTTTCAGGTCTGATAATATTTACGCTCCGGATGCACCGAATTATTTTCAGCAACGGCGATTTCGCTTAAGCTTCCTGGACGCTTTCTCAGTTCGAAAAAAAAAATTGTGGAAATTGTTACTAAGTAAAAATCCTTTGAATGACAGTCTCGAAAATAGAGAGCAAAAATCCTGCTGTGCTAAGTTGCGACCATTAAATATGACAGGCCTAAAATAACTTTCCAATACCTGTGATTGTTGCCTTTGTTGTGAGCGCGCCCAAAAAGTTGGACGCATTAGCAATCCGCAATATTGAAAGGCGAAAATCGCTCTCGCCGCGCGTGCATTATTATACCTGGCGCATTATTTACCTATTTCGTCGGGCGCTTTCAAATCGTTCTACATTTCGAGCGTCTTGTGTGGGAGGAGAAAGAAATAATATTTTGGCAGATCATCAGAGAAATGACGACGATCGTGATGGTCGAGCGCATTCTAATGCTCACTTAAAAGCAACCCGACGGCCGAAAATGAAAGTTGGGTCAGCAAATTGGAAAATAAAAAATGCTTTTGCTCTTTTTCTATGAGATTTAAAACAAATAATACTATTCTAATGAACATTTGCATTATGAGTTTTGGTGGGAAGAAAATAATTACTTTTCATCAGCGAAATAAGTACGGCACTTGGCGCTGCACTGATTCTGCTAATTGCAAAAACATAATAAATGTTATATCAGTGTTTGCAATTAACTCGCCGAGAGCAGTTTACGACCAGGGTTTTTCTGATCTGTTTCAGACGCTGCTGGCAATCAGTCTACTTTTCTAGTTTGTACTGAGCCGTGGTCTGATTTCTGATGTATATTTCATAATTTTCATTTGTTTTTACTCTCATCTTTAATGAGCTATTTTAAACGTGGAAAGTCACGAGTCACGATGGAGGAATTCAATTTGAAAAAAGTGCTGGAATTAATTATTTCTGCCAATGTAGGTGAAGATAGCAATTTCATAGACGAGCGACCAGACCATCGAAAGGCCAGTTCAAACTTAACGGTGAATAAACGGCAGAGGAATTTCCATCTTTTGCAAACAAATCACATCACTTTTTGAGACAAGATGAATAGCAAAGTTTTTGAAATATTTGACTTGTAACAAAAATTTAAAATTTGTGTGTTGAATTGAATTAAACCAAATTAAAAAATTTCGTAAAGTGTGTTAATTTTCTAGAAAATAATAAAATAAAAAACGAGTATAAGTAAAATTTTAACAATTTTCCTTCACACAATTTTGCTAATTCATGAATAAAAAAAAAATAAATGAACAATGAAGCAATAAATTTCATTAGTTTTAATAAAAAAACCTTAAGCGTTGATATTATTTTACCTTTTCATTCTAAATTACTTCAAAGGTTGGGGCCACATGCAATTATAAATATTTAACAAGAAACAAGGCGAAAAAATGAAAAATTAATGAAAACGCAGAGAAACGCTCGGCAAGGTTGATTTCCAGCATGTTGTGCATTTGCAAGTGCGTGCGAGAGCGAAAAAACTGCACTAACGGAACTTATGGAAATATTATGGTCAGCCAGCCGCGCTCGCAGAAGGATGTGCTGCGACCCTTTGACGTGCGACCCCGAGTGACCTACCGAGAGGTCAGCAGGCGAAAAAGTGCGAGTGCGGTCATTAGAAAGCGCATTTGACATCGTTTTGCAGTTAAAATCGCTTTTAAGGTCATCGCAGCCAGGGTGCTTTGTTCTCGTTGATGAGAAGAAACGCGTCCTGCAATCACAAGAGGACATTCCGAACGAGTTGATTGGAAATTCAGCACTCGATTGTCAAGAGAGGAACACGTGCCAAAGGAACCCATTAATTTTTCGGCCGCTCGGAATGCGCGGCAAATATTTATTATTGAACTCCCGCACAAATGGTGGAGAAATTTTTGCTCCAATTTCTCTTTTCGTTTGGCTGAGGGTCATTAATTTTTTCATTAAAAAGACACTTGAAGGAAAAATTGCTACAACTTATCTAAATTAAATAAAAATATTTTAATATTTACTAAAAAAAGTAAATTTTTATGAAAAATTACTATTCATAAGCAACCTCAAATTAATAATTGACTTATTGAGGGAACAATACCGTTCACAGAGGCGGGTAAAAATTATTAAAAAAAAAAAACAATTTCAATATGTTTAAGTGATTAAATAGTTCACTATTCCTGCAGGACTAAAATTATTCATTAAGATTGTAAACGAAAAATTTTAAAATAATAAATAATAATATTTTTCAAGAAACATGAACTATTTTCCAAACTATTAAATTGAAAAAATGAATTTTCTTTTTCGTCAGTTTTATTTTAAAGATTTGTTTTTTTTTCTGTTTGGTGAGAGTTTTCATTCTTGCACGCATTCCCCATGTATGTGGATGGATAGTAAAAAAATTAAAAACACGGTTGAACGATCATGACTGCGAGGGAAAAGAAAAAAATTATATCGCGTTATTTATTCAGAGGGCGTGCGAGCGCCTGAGGAGTGGAGGTCAAAACTCACGCCTTGTCCATAATTTGGTCAAAATACGTGCCATCGATCACAATCGAGTGAAAAAGAACAATCTGCTCTCTGAATCACCAACCGACGCGCCCCAGGCTGATTAAATTAATCCTGACCAAATTGTTTCATTAATGATTGCGAAATTAGGCAGTTTCAGAAGAAATTACTTCAGTACATAATCACATACAATTTACTTCGTATTCGCAGGTTTTAAATTGTCCAAAGTTCTAATAAAATAAAATTGAGCAATAAGTTGAAATATTATAGGATAACGTTTGCTATGGTTTCTTCAATTATTGAATTTATAATTTAAAAAAATATTTTCATTATAAAATTTCAATTTTTCTATCGTAATAGAAGTTTGAATAAGACAGATTTTAAAATAAAAATCAATCACAATTTCTCAAAATTAATTTAACTCATTTTTATTTAGATTCCAATCTGATTATATTTTTGTACTCTCCTCAGGCTTAATGCAAAATCTGGGATTATATTGTCGTTAAAATTTTATCTGACCGATTTTCAGCTTGAATGGAAACAACAAATTAATCTAATTGAATTACACGTCGAAGATAGAAAAGTTGCGGTGGCTGTTGCTTGGGAAAGGAAGTGCAAATAAAACCGTCTTTCTTTCCACTTTGTGGTGAAAATGCTTTTGTAACAGCAAATTACACATCCTAACAAGTCCACGGAATTTCTCTTCATCATTGGCAACGTCCGAAACACAGTCGCACAACAATGTGGCCGACCGAGCGAGTGGCAGAAAAATCCATCAATAAAAACCAACACTGCGGGGCTTTTGTTGGCAAAGATAATTTCAAAGACTCGACTCAACACCAATTATTCAAACCAAGCGGAAATGATTGAGAGTTCAAGCATGTCAAGTAGACAACCCAAAGGTACACAGATCGTGAGGTGAAGTTTTTTTTTTGCCGTAAATTTTCTAAAATATTTGCATAAAAAAGAACGTGCGCGATTGGATTTTGCGTTAAAGAGCAGAGAAATGAATTTCGCAATTAAATCATTTCTTTGCCTAGGTCGTGATGAGAAAAAGTGTGATTTGCACGTCTTTAGTGCGTTTCACGGTTCCTTGCGATTTTCCTCGCATGCCGAGCTCATTTTTATCGCCAGGCCTGATATCAAATTTTGGCGTGATTTACAGTACGTAAGCAGCAAAATACACCTCGCTACTTCCGTGCGGTGGTGTTCCCGTTAATAAAATATAAAAATCTCAAATAACACACCCAATCGTCGGACCGAAAAAATTAATTACGTCAAAAAATCCTTTGAAGTTGAAACCTTTCTGTTTGCCCAGAAATGATCCCAAACAATCTAGAAAAACAAAAGAAAAAATAACGTGGATGAAAAACCGCTAAAAATTAGATATTTGACGACTCTTTCATTAACATAGCTCGTAAAAAAAATAAAATAAAAAATTGTGCGAGTAAATTAATTCAAATTAATTTTTCCTTCTAATAACAGTTCAAAATTTGGAAGAAAATAAATATCGTTGAAAAATATAAATGAAATTTACAAAAAAAGTTACCATATTCAATAGTATTCTTTGAATAAATACAAAATTAATCACATTTCTAAATTTCAGATAAAATTTACTCATAATTTAATTTCACAATCGAACTTTAAAAAAATTTATCTAAGAAGACTAAAATTTTAATTCACAGTGAAAATAATACCCAAAGTGGAAAACGCATGGAGGAGTAAATAGATGGAATAATTTTCAGGGCAACTTGCTTTTTTATTAGAGAGAAGAAGTGACCCAATAAAGAGGCTGAGACGAGAGCTGCAGTCCCAGGAAAACAAGTGAGATTCATTTCCTCCATTCTGAGCAGCAGCCAGCCCACTTGAGACAATGCAGCCGGCGACCACATTTATATTATTTATTCGTCTGATTGTTTTCCTCGCGCTAAAGTACACTTGCGGCCGAGTAAACAGGTAACGCTATATCCGCATCCAACGATCTTGAATTGACCACCGAGATATAAATAAATGTTGGCAAAAAGTAAAGCAGTCCTGGTTTGGGTGAGCATATCGAGTTGAGAATAACGACATAATTTTTTGCCGAAGTTAAAAAAATGCGAATTGAATTATATTCGCGGTTGGCTTGTGCGAATAAAAGAATCACTTGACACCATTCGGCGTGGACGGACTTTAATTTATTCCGGCGGAACTCTCATGCAGGAGAATATAAAATTAAAAAAAATATTACAGTGAGAGATGTCACGGCCGCTGATAAATTAAACAAAAAGTTGAGCCCAGCTCGAGGAAGTTGTTTGGGTATTGTGTGCGGAGGGAATAGACAATGAGATCTCGCCTAAAAATGATTCACAAGCCGAGGCTCATTTTCATTACTCCAAGGCATTGTTGTGTTCCAATGACAAAGGAGGCTTCTTCTTTTTTCACCTTTTGTGTTTGTCTTGCCCACTTGAAAAGGTGATTTTTTTAGAAGAAGTATTTTTAAGGTTTTATTTAAAATCAAAGTCACTTTTACATTTCAAATCCACAATGTAGATTAAAAATTTTGTGGTTGAATTTCACCGCCGAGAAATGTACGCTCAAAACACACGTTTCAATATTGTGACCAAATTGTTATAAAAATTAATTTTTTTCTAAATAATTTTTTAAATTCATATTGTGAAGTTTTTGTATAAAAAATTGTTTTCTGTAAAAATGTAACCTTTAAAAATGATTTCACAAAAGTGTTAAAGCTTAATTTGAAAAATAAAAACATATTTTTAGAAAAATTGGTTTTTTTAATAATTCTATAGTCAAAATGTTTTCACAGCCCATAAATTATGGCTACAGGCCGCAGCCGAAACATAATTTTTCTTAAAAAATAAAAAAACTCACAAAAATCCATCAAGGGGAAGCCGACTTTAAATTTAAATCACCATAGATCAAAATTATTATTTAAATTTTTTTAACACACGAAAATCTACCAATATTATCTATTAAAAATCAAAAGGTGAAAAAAAAACAATAATATTTTCTACTGGGAAATACTTTTAATTACTACAGAAAAGAAGACGATGCAAAATTTGTGTTTTGTTTAAATAGAAATACGGCTACTGTAAAGTAAAATTTTAAAAATGACTTTCGATTTTCGTTTCCCACCGTCGTGTCTTAAGGGGATGTGGTCGAGTTTATACACTTCTTGTAATCAGTAATAAAGAAATGAGATGCGCTCTCAGTGAGAAAATCATGATGCTGGAATATCAAATTACGCGCAGCAAGATTGAAAGTGCCAAGTCAGGTGCAACATTTTTACGGCTGATAATCGATCATAATTGCAAGGAAGACAAAATGCTTTCTATTTTAATTCTTGTTAAACGATATCGATTTCTTTGCGGCAAAAGTTCGTTTCACGGCCAATGATTGGAAACATTGAAAGTTTTCTCTGAAAACTCTCGTAATTTCGCATTTCTGTAACAAATTAAAAAATAGTGGAATTATATCGCTCACAGCTCATTAGACATAAAGATCATTATTTTATACCAATTTTTATTAACGCTGTCTCCAAAATTTATATTGGTCATCATAAATCTTCCGTTCTGCCAATTTGTTTGCAATAAAGAATAAAAGCAGAGAGAGATTAACATATAGCCCTACTTTCAAATTTGATCTAGAGTTGCACCCTGATGTTCTTTAGATAGCCAGCATATCTCAATTCAGGGCATGTGGAAAAGGATGTTCATCTCTCTCCTATTTAGAAATTGACCATCACGCTGCGGCTATTTGTGCGCGATTAAGGCGCTGCATTTTTGTGCCTTGATACGCGGAGAAATTGCTTTTGTGTTAGGCAAATCTCACAATCAGCTGACCAACCTCGCAAACACAACCGTTTATTTCTATCCCTTATTTTCACCGATGCACGTTTCGTTATTTTTAATGTGCCGAAAGAGAAAAAAGCGTTTTATCAGATGCACTAAAATTTCTGTATCACTTTCAACTGGAAGAAGCAAAAATTCTTCTTTTCACTCTGAAAACGCAAATTGCGAGTAAGTCTCATTTATTTCATGCAGCATGCGAGGTGGAAGAAAAATGTTACAATCTTTATGATCTCTTCACGAATATGCAGCAACAAAGTGCGATCGGTAACGGTTGGAGCAAATTCACTTTTAATTTGCCAGCGCATTTTCTCACTTGATTTTTATACAAAGTGCGGTAACGCTCGGTTCAAAAATCGTTTAACTCTTGTGCAAGGCGAAAGTAGCCACTTTGATTGTAAATTTAGTATTTGAGGTAAAAAACCATGTTTGTTTGGCCGCTCATTTCCAATTACGTCAGCGTGCAGCTTTTTATACCTTTAATACACAAAGATTTGTGGATTTTCACTCAAAAAAAGGAGTAAAATGGATTGTGCTTCTCAACACGTACGGGCGCGTGGATAAATAATGGCGGAACTTTTTTGGTTGGAAAAAATTACGCTCATTGTGAAAAGTCACGCTGATGTCGTCGACAAAACGGCGAGCGCCTCAAGCGGGCATTCTATTAGCAAAAAGCGTCGCGAAAATTAAGGGCCATAAGGAAGGAATGTGTGCAGATATTTAAGCGGACCTGTTTGCAATTCACTTTTGAAAAGGTGGAATTTAATAAAAGTTACAATTTCTAATTATGCCACTTTCTTTAAACGGATTATTTGAGGTGGACTTTTTAATAAAAAGGTCCCCTTCTAATTTATTTCAAATAAACAAGTTTAATATTTGAGCTTCATTACTTTGGTGTTTTAAGCTTGGTTTCAGAAAGATTTAGTGACAATTTATGTAAACTTTGTTTTAATTTAAATCGATAAATTAGAAATAAAAACTGTTTTACTCAATCAATTAATTCTTAAATTAGATTGACAAATAATGTGGCAGTTTTTCGTTGTTTAAAAAAATCTGGGCGTTGAATAGGATTATATCAAGATATTAATGATTTTACAAAAAGCAATTTAAACTAATTATGTAAAAAAAAATAAGTGTTTTTTTTTCTACATTCAGATCTACCCTTCATGCCCTGTAAGTGACATTGGGGTCAAAGTGAAAGATATCTTACAATAGGGTCAAAAGTCATTAGCAACTTATCTCATAAAATGAGTATTTCTTGCATGAAATTAGTATAATTTTTTAATTAAAATTGATAAAAAAACAATGTCTATGGAGCTATTTTTTTGTAAATAAACGCCACACTGAACTCCAAGAAAAGTTGAATTGTTTCTCACAAAAAAACAAAAATATAGTCGAATCCGTGCATGGAAGAAATTTTCAAGCGCTCTCTGAGGAAGGCAGCAGTAGACGCAAGAAAAGAGCAGAGCGACTTCCCCTTCGGTGAGTGACCTGAGTTTTTTCATACCTGAATCAGAGTTACACGCAAAAGGAAGGAGGGGAGCAGGTGCCTGCCTGCAATGGAGAACATCCATGCAGGCGCAGTCAGTCTGTACCGGAGCAAGAACTAGGAGGCCGAGTGCGGTAATTCGTCTACTCAGTAGTCCGACCAGCGGTGCACCCGAGCGAACCAAAGTGGCCTTTTTTGACACTCGCAAAGAATGGTTTGACAACAATAATTCGGTGACACTTCAGACCGGCGATACAAAAAAATAATAAAAGCTTGGCCATGGAGCTTGCGGCAAGGAAAAGATAAATCGACGATTAGTTTCCTGCAGCCACACACATTTGGATAATTTCGCTGAACTGACTTCAAAAAGTGAGTATTTATCAAAAAATAATATTATCATTTTAAATTTTTATTGCAACATTTGTATTTCATGATGAAAAAATTAGGATAAAATCATTTTTATTTCGGAGCTTTTGGAAAAAACCAATAAATTCGGATCTGCTCTCAAACGCACTTCCTCTCCGTAATGTTTCACGGTCCACTTAATTAAGATCGGAATCGATTAGAAAAACTTTCTTTCAAACGAATAATTATGAGTATAAGTGTCAAAAATTAAAAAGCGTGTCATAGTGGATTCGATTCAAATTTTCATAAATATTTATCTTGCAAGCGACCTCGACCGTGAATGCTAAACTCTTCATCAAACACTTTGTTGATTAGAGGGTCTCGTCCTGCACCTTTTACTTTTGTCACGGTCAGTCACCCCACGCAACATTGATAACCGTGGCCATATACATACGTAAAATAATGTAAACGTGCTGGCAGGTGAAGGAACGCGAAGGAAGTGCTGCCGATTCCTTTTTTAATTGGCCGACGGGCGGAATGTGACGCGAAATTGGCCGTAATTATGGCCTGTTGGCGGAGGATCTTGCTTGGGAATTGAATAAAAAAGAGCAGCCGTCACAAATTCACTCACACTTGGAAGGATTCAAGGTCTCAATCTCACCATGAGGCGCAGAGTGTGTGTGAATGCACTTGCGCGTCCATGCAACAGCAGCTACGCCTGACAAAAAAAAATATGCGCTTCGCTCTGGCGTCGAGAAAAAAATTTCAAAAACATGTAAATAGTCTTATTTTGGAACGGAAAGTTTTGTCCCGGCCATCTGACATCGCACGATAATTTACAGCCAGGCGTACAATTCAAATTTTATTGCTCAATTCAAGTACCGTTTTGTTCTGTGGCAGAGACAGATCGACAGCGGCAAACGGACCTAACATTTACGCACGAACAAAATTTCATATTTAATTGTCCCGACGACCATTGGACCGTTTCATGGGATCTTGCAGAGTGCCGGTGAATATATTTTATACCAAAGAAAGATTCATAAAAAACCACTTGCTAGTTCGAAATTAAGAAGAATATTTATCACGCAGATCCAGTTTAAAAATATTAAAAAAAAAAAAAGACAATAATCGGTCTTTTATAAATTTTCCGTTCTAAATAATTTAAGCATCCTTTTTTTTATAAAATACAATAAAATAATCACATTATAGATTAACTTTAAAAAATTTCTACCTCTTCGTAAGATTTGTTTTTTTTAAGAAATTTCTTTAATTTTCTCATGAGAATTACGCTGAAGATAAAATTCCGAGAATAATAAAAAAGACGCTTCTTGATTGCTCTGGTTGTTGACAAAATCTCCTTGCTTGAGCAAACATATAAGAAGAAAAACCAGAACACAGATAGAGGAAGAACGTCGTAAAACGCACAGGAAACTTTTCCTCAAAGTCACTCTCTGCCCTTAAAATAAGAGAAACTGGACTTTTCGAACCACGAACTTTGCGGGACAAATTCAGATTGATGCATTTGTGATTATGTTAGACCTTGATTTGATTTTGATGAAGGCACAGTTGGTTCTCAAAAAGCAGAGCACGTGTTCGAGTTGCTGAGTATGTGGAGCAATTAGGCTCTGTTGTGCAATTAGCTGCAGCGAATAATGCATCGAGCCGATAATCTGTGCTCGTATGAGCAATTCGTCCGTCGACTCCTGTTCGCATTTTATGCATGGATAACGAACGTAGACGGCAAATCCAGCACGCATATGCCAGAGTTTATGTAACGGTAAACAAAACACTTATTCAATCAGAAATTTTTATAGTCATATTCTCTCATCTATTATTAAGCGAGTGAGTGACTAATCCGATTCTAGATGAAAGAAAGCTTTTAGAATCATAAAATCACACACTACTTATGTATAATTGTAAATTGATTAAATGTGCCATCGAAATTTTAGAGAAAATATCAATTAATTATTCCAATAAAAATGTACTTATGTTGATACAAATTATCATTGTTATTAAAAGGAAGTTTTAAAATTCTTGTGGGTCTCGGTGCCATTTTTTTCACCACTTCCCTTTTTTAAACACCTTTTTCTTTCAAAATTGAATAAACACAATGCGATTGGATAAATAAATTAGGATAAAAATTGAAATTTTTCGTTTTGAAGTTAATTTTGAATAAATATACTCAACTGGAACTGAAAAAAACCACGTGCCGTGCGATTCCGGTCCGTTTTTAGCACCCACTCGTAAATAACACATTCGAATTCTCGCTCAACCAGATCGACCCAATAAGTGACCATTGCGCGAGAAGACAAGTCTTTATCGCCTTCTTCCTTCTGTCCGCTCCACTTGCTCTCTGCTTTTTACAGGTTTGAAATCGCTCATCTGCCCAGTTGCTGGTTTAATTTCAGTCGGCACCCAGCAATATAATAAAAAAGACAATACTTATTTGACCGAATTGCGGCAATTGTAGCGAAAATTCTTCTTCAAGTACTACGATTGTTAACCGCGTTTTCATTGCAACATCCACGCACGCACGCTGGAGCATTTTAATAACAGTACCTTTTGATTTGGGCTACAAACTGGATGGATGTAATGAGCAAGTTAGGAAATTTTATTCAAAGATTTAACAAGGCTCATTATTATTCACGCCGAGCACTCATTCACGCTTTTCTCGGAAACAAAAATAATGATTCCCCTATCAATGAATTGAGAGGAAAAATATTCATTGAATTATTCTGAATGATGGGGAACATGAAAATGGAATTTCAAAGTAAAAAATGAAAGGTTTTGGCAGTTTTTCTCACGTTTTTAATCGCCTGTTTCCGGCGCTGATGTAACAAGAGCAGGCCAATAAGTTATGCAAGTTTTTGTCTGTCCGCGAGCAAGTAACCTGATTTGCGTGAGTCTTCTCGTGACGAACCTTGCTATTTTTTTTTCTCGCTCACTAATTTAATCATTTTATGATACGTAATTTTACTTTTGAACTCTTGTTCAATTTTTTTCCATCCATATAACTACAAAAATTCGCGAAAATACTTTATTAGCGAGTAATAAAATACAATTTTATTACCAACTCACTAGTAAATTTAATTTTTATTCAAGTTAAAGCTTTTATTTGATTCGAGTTTTAAAAGCAAAGGGTCGTGAACCACCGACGAATAGTCAAAAGAGAAAACAGTGAAATTCAGGTAGCGTTTTTGTTGCAAATTTTACAGCCGATCACATGCCAAAATGAAAATTCTGCTGCCAATTATTTTGCTCGTTCCACATTTAGCTGCAGCGTGCGCAGGTTGTTGGCAAACGTTGCTGGATCATGAACGCAAAATAGACTCACGTTGCAGCTAAACAATATGATCTTGAATACAAATATTGGCTGCTCGTGTCCCAACGGTAAATTCACTCTTCGAATTCCTTGGCCGTGATTGCAACCGTGGGCGTTTGTCTCTCTTTCAACACTGTGGGCCATCACGGAGGTGTCCCGGGCCGTTTTTCATTGAGTCGCAATAATTAGTCTTGCGGAGCAAACAACCCAGATAGTTTTACGCAACAATAAGATTCTTTCTCGCAGCCGCCAGACGTGCAATTCGCATTCGAGCGCGCATAGATTAATTGTCCCTGCTCAAACAGTTTGTCAACTTACGAATTCTATTTTCGTTTGTTTCCATTTTTGCTATTCAAGAACAGTTAAATTAGAGAAAAAAGCTGTCCTCTGATTTACAGGAATACGAGTAAAAGTAGATAAAAAAAAAACATTTTATTTAATGTAAAAAATTGGAGGAATAAATTAAATTATACAATTTCTTTTCTAGCTTCAGCATCATTGATTTTTATAAAAAAAGCTCGTGATTCGGTGTTTAAGTAAAAAATCTTACAAATTGACGTAGATCGACTCAAAATTGTTCAAAATTTACCAAATGAATTTGGAGAAAAAAATCTTGGATGCTGACAATTGATTTAAAATTTATTGAGCTGTAAAACCTTTTTTGGTGAGATAACAAAAAAAATCTGGAAAAAAGTTGATCTCTATTTCAATTTCCTCCGCTTCTGCATTCTTTTCACTCCATTCATTTTAGCAAAAAGTTCTTGCTGATGAATTCTTCATTTGAGCGAATTTTCCTCCTCCACTGACAAGGACACGCTCCGCCAACTCAAGTTGAAGAAGTTCCCACACAAAAGATCCACCCTTTTTACAACAAAACCCACGGCAATTAGTGAACGAACCCAAAAAAATAAATGTCTACCTAGACGACTGCAATTTAAAATGGGTTTGCATGTCACTGGCGAGTAAGAAGGAATTCAAATGCAAACTTGTGATAAAAGAGAGCATCCAAACACGTGTGTTCCCGGGAACAAACATATACTCTTGAGAGACTTTTGCACGGCGGTGAGAAAATTCCCCCGAGCACTGATTGTGCGGATGAGATTGCGCAATTTATTCTGCGCGGTTCCCTTCTGCCTTAGTTACCGACTTAATATTCGCCTGGCTGTTCAACGTACTCAAGAAGTCTATTGTCTCGGCCGTGGTTTAAAATTTTTCTCTCTAGCACGAGCAGAGAAAAAACGGTAGTCTGCTCAACAGTTTTCAGTAGCAGATGGATGATTTACGACTGTTGGAATGATTTTTAAAGGGAAAATTCGTTTCCACCAAGAACTGTTTAGAATTGCTCATTATTCTTATATCATCTCAATTTATCTTGATAATTTTTTAATGACAGACTGGAGCAAAAATTTATTCATTAATTATTATATAATTATATATTTGGTATAAGTAATTTTTTTTTAATAATTTGATTCAATTTTAATGATTGTAGGAAATTCAATCATCCGAGATGTAATTCCAAAGTTCAATCTAAGAATCTCATCAAGAACAAAAATTATGCAAATTTTGATTCATTGACTGCTGCGAACGATTTTAACTGTGGGAATTCTTGATTCTTTTCGTCTGGATGGCGCGGTAAAGAATTGGCAATTGAACTCTTCGCTCATTTCACTTGTTCTCGTGCAATCAAGGCTGTTTCCGCGACGACAATTAGCGAAAAGAGACGACGAGAACGAACGAGCAAAGAAGCACGGCGAAGAGATGCTGCAGGAAAGTGGTAAAGTTGGCGTGCGGTCCCGTTACGAATCAACGACCTACCCGCCCAGTCTCGACGCACTGCGCGCGGTATTAGTTATGATTTCATACTTACAAGTATCCTTCAATACAAGTGCATTCCTATTGGTTCTTGAGGGCCAACGTGCCCAGAAGAAAACAAACCGATCGATGACGTACCAATTAACGGCACCGAGAAATCAATTTGGTCAAATTTATTCGATGATGACTTAATTTGTATCAGCGTTCGTTGAAATAAAAAAATTCATTGTTTTTAAATAGATTTGTTAACAATTTGCTTCTTCCTGAATTATTAATTCAAATTGTATTTTTTGTTTTAATTTTTAATCAATACAAACGCCGGAATTTATCTTTAAAATATTCATTTTTAAAATGTATAATTCCATCCAAAAGGAAATACACTTTTAAGCCCTTTGACTTTTGATTTGCATATAATTTGAAAGCTCTCTGAACAAAGCAACCGCCTGTTTCCCTCCCTGACAGTAAACGTGTAATTATGAACATGCTGGTTCCGAATAATATTCCATTGTGGTGGTACCCAAAATTTCCAAATTTATGGGTACGGGCGTTACAAAAGTAAAACACACGCTCTTTCTTTTGATGCAAAATAAATGTGTGGTTGGACGTGAATGAAAAGCAAACATAATTTTTGCTGCCGCTGTGGCGGTGACTTTGACGACGGCACTTACTAAATAACGGGAGAAGCAAGGTCCAGTGCGAACGAGTCGGCGAATTTAACAAGCAAGAAGAAGTAACTTCCTCGCTCGCTTCCTTACTTGTCTTGAAACTGGACCGAACTTTTACTACTCGATCGCTTGTGTAGCGGTGAATTTAGGAGTTTTATTTGAATAATAATTGGAGACTGACGGCACGCCAAAAGATTAGCTCAAAATTTTTCAGGCAATTGAGTGGCTCACAGCGAGAAATGAAAGAATCTTGTTAACTTTTCGTTTTTGAGGCGAAAGAAAGTTGATTAATTGGCCTCGCGGCGGCGGCAGAAGTAAAAGGGCGTTTCGGCTCGTGCCTTCACCAAAAAAGTGCACCGACATGCGTCAATTTAGCCAACTTTGATGAAATTTGAAATCGTCCGATCTCCTCGCGAATTCCTATCGAATGGAGAAAACAAAACTGCAAAATGTTTGTTGGCTGCAATTAGAAAATATCTAACCACCTTCCGTGACAATGAGTTAATTAGCCAGCTGATGCAAATCTTTCCTGTGAACAATTTATTTTACACTTTGCAGCAGAAAAATTATGAGAAAATCATGCATCACTTAGCATATATTGAATGCCTTGTTAGCATTTTTGCAAATGTGCAAAAAAAATCTACCTCAGCGGATTGCTATAAATCTGGCCTGCAGATATGAGGTAACACATCATCATCCGGCGTTTTGGAAACAATTTGTGAGTTTCCGCCACTTGGCAGATGGCATCTTAACAGTTACAGCGGTGATAAGCGCGACTTTATATAATAATAGATACGATTCCAATTTTCGCCTGTCTAACAACAATTCTGGGTACGGAACGGGCGAATTAAAAATGCGGTAACAAAGCAGCGAATTCTCAAGTAAAAGGGCGAAATTCTCTCATATCATGGTATCACCTGCGGCATCTTTCCGCTCAACGGTACCCGGCTCAAATCTCGTCTTATCCCGGGATAGCTGTTTTGATGGAGCGAACACTTAACAGTAAGTTAATTTCAAAGCCGCATATGTATCGCTGGTGCGGCGACGCGGGAATTCTTTTCACGCCATATCTCATGGCTCAAACCTCTAAATTGGTGGAATCAACGCCGCGTGCTAATAAAAACCCGCATCAATTACTTTGTCGACGCGCGCGCGGTGCAACAGAAACTGGGTTAGAATTTTTCAAGAGGAGAACCGCGCAATGTGTAACATCCTTTTAAAATCATCCGGTTTGACTGTTTGTTTTATTGAACAACACTTCCTTTGCTTTGAACACTAATTAACAAAAATATATTTCCCAACTTAATTTTAATTAATTGTGTCACTAAAAATATTAAACGTTTAGATCTAGACCGAAAAATTGATAAAAATAAATTTTTCCTTTACTTAATTTTGAATGTTTTGTTTCAGATGACGACGCTGCGTTGGTTGTGCGCTTGCCTGGCGCTAATGGCGTGTGTGCAGGCACAGCTTTGTCCCTGGCAAAACGACCACCCTGAATTGGCGTCTGCATGTTTGTGCGCGACAAACCTGGCGCGAGAAGTCTCGATTCAGTGCGACCTGGTCGACTGGCCTCTCCTTTTGGCCGCCCTACAGAGGCATCTACCCCCCGGCCCGGGCCCGGTCATCGACCTCCTCTACGTCAGCAACAGCACCGTCCGAACGCTGCCGGCCGACGTGCTGGTCGGTGTCCGGCGCGTCCGCAGCCTCCAGATGTCCGGCTGCAAAATTGAGAAAATCGAGACTGGTGCTTTCAGGGGACAAGAAACGTCCCTCAAGAATCTCAATTTGCAGGTGAGTTTTTTTTTCAACGTTGCAAATTTTAATTTTACCCTCTAAGAATATTGCTTAAATTTAATGTTTAATTAAACCCTAGCCTAAAACGATAAAATGTGCACATTACCTTTACTTTTATTATTATAAAAATGCTCACGAAATTAAAATTTTAATAAAAATGAACGTGATCGATGTAAAAAAATATATGTATGACTAATAAAATAGTTTGAGGGTTTGTTAATTTTTTTTAAGATAATGCCCATTTTGGTTCACGGTGAAAGTTTTTTATATAAAAAATTGCCAAAAAAATATATAGATAGGCGCCTAGCTTTTTTAATAATTATTTATCCACGCAAACATTTGTCCATTTTGCAACTTTAATTAGGCTAAAAAATATATTTTGCCATTTCAATTTCCAAACTTGGCAACTAATTGTAAATTAGAGCGGCTGTTACACAATGCGCGTCGCGAGATGAAATCACGTTTCTCCCCTGAAACAATATAATGATTGTTATGGAAAAAGGCGGCGAAAATTACACTGTGAGCCAACTGCACGACATCATAATGATAACACTTCAAACGTCGCTGGTCATAATGAAACAGAAAGGGCATGTGTTTGATTTGAACTGAAATTATTTCGTAAACTGCAGCATTGTTCTCTGGACCAATTCCGCGAACTAGACCAATAATTATAAATAATAATTGAACAGGGAATTCACACGGTAACAAGCAAGTGTGTATTTAATTTTTATCTGTTTTTTTTTCGCAGGATAATTTATTGGACGCCGTGCCAGTGGCTGCCCTGCGTCCCTTGCGCAACCTGACCCTTTTGGATTTGTCTCGCAACAAGCTCAATCGAGTGACCCAGGACTCGTTTAGTTCACTGGGCGCCCTGGCCACCCTGAAACTGGCCGACAATGAAATCACCCTGGAGCCTGGCGCATTCCACGGATTGGAGGCTTCTTTGAGAAACCTGAATCTCAAGGGCACCAGGCAGAAGAGACTTCCAGAGGCGGTCAGAGGACTAAGGGCTCTGGCCTTCTTGGACCTGGCTCAAAACGGACTCAGGGAATTGCCGACGTCAGGTGCCGCTGCGGGAAGAACTCTGCAGGTGAGTTTTTTTTAACGCAATTTGCATGCGAGCCCCTATCGCTTTCCTCTTACCGCGTCATTTGCATTGTTCCACTTCCGACCTGCATGAGAAAACGATACTCGGATCTGATTAAAAATCTGCCTGGCCATTTATGCGATTCATTTTTTAATAATTGTACGGCCACATCCTGTGATAACGAAAAATATAAATCATGAAACGGAGCAGAATTGGAAAGGGCTCGACGTGACAGAAGAAAGTGTTCACTTTTACTCGCTCGCCAAAGGATTACACGGCTTAGTATCAAAATTACAAACGCATTATTTATTAATCAACGGTCATCCGCGAGAAAAGTTCTACTTTTACCGCACCCATATCCACTATCATAACAATGGGCATGCCAATCTCAATAGCAAGACAAGATGATTGTGTAGCCTGCGAGCACAATCACACGTCAGCCAGTTGAATAAACAACGTTGCTTTATTTCCAGTCCGAAAAGAGATTTGATCAAAATCGTGACCAATCGTTATGGCTTTTAGTAGTAAAATGTAGATCATGCAACGAAAGCAATGATGATTTTGAGTTTCTTTGCTTCATTTCCGTTCCCAAAACATGCAATCATTTCCCATTCAAAATATATAATTTATATCATATTTCTCCAGCGAAGAGAAATTTGCCGTCGTGTCTCTTTTCTACCGAAAGCAACAAAAGTAAAAATAACGTTTCGATCTGCATATCCGCTAAAACTTATCAAAGTGGAACATAACGCCAATTATTTATTTTCCGGATTCCGAGACTAATGCGTGATGTGCTCGCTTTAATTGCAGGGCCTGGACTCGCTCACGGCCATCAACCTGGAACGCAACCTGATCCAGAGCGTAGCGCCCGATGCCTTCGCAGGGGTCGCCGATACGCTCAGCTCGTTATCACTGCTCAACAATTTGCTCACCGACTTCCCAACGCCCGCCATCTCCACCCTGAAGGAGTTAAGAGTAAGTATCAAAAATCCGTTGCAAATTTAAAGCGAGAAAGCGCCGAAACGAGTCTTCATGGGTATAATTGTGATTTTTTCGCTTCATCCACGTCAATAATGGCAGCAGTTCTTTCAATAAAAAGTGAAAACGCTCATCAGGCACGACTCAGACCGTAAATTGGCAGTCGTGACCTCTGCAACCCAACAGAAGCTATTATTACAGAGACGCGCTGCTCGCACCATTTAATTTAATTTCCAACGGTGCCGATGAGCGCTTTATTAGAGAGCTGCCGATTTGTAATTTTGCATGAAACAATGAAACGCCAGCCGGAAGAGCCATTTCATTGACGAAAGTTTGAATTTGAATTTAAATAACTATAATAACCTCTCAGGTCCTCGACATTGGGTTCAACCTGATCACAACCCTGCCAACGGACGCCTTCAATGGAACCCCCTCCCTCACCCTGCTGGCGCTGGACGGCAACCCTCTTGCGTCTGTGGCAGAGTCCTCGCTGATTCGCCTCAACTCGACTTTGAGGGGACTCAGCATCGGCGGACGATTTCTTAAGTGCGACTGCAAACTTAAGTGGCTGGCCAACTGGCTCAAGAATGGAGAGCTGCAAGTGACCAGTCGCGAAAGGGCGCCCCAGTTTTGTGGGGAGCCGCCACGACTCAGGGACAGAGGTTTTTCGACAATTCAACCAGAGGGTGCGTTTAAAATTTTAAAATTCAATTTTTTTTCTTATTAGAGAAAATTCCAGAATTGTCGTGCGAAGCAACAAACGAAGTTGAGGACGCGTCCTCGGCCATCATCGAAAACGCGATTCCCGTTCAGGCGGTGGAGACGTCTTCGTCGACCACGACCTCCACCACGACAGAAGCGCCAACCAGCCCTTCTACGACGTCGAGCTCGACTACCACAACCACCACCACAACACCGGCACCCACAACCCCAAGATCCACGACAACCACCTCAACGACCACCACCACTACCAGACCAACGACGACCACAACTCAGAGAGTGCGAATCACTGGCTCTGCAAATGTATTGGTGTCCAAGCCCCCTCCAGTGGTGGTGCCTTCGGCCGCTCCTCCCCCTCCCAGAGTGGTCAACAGTCCCAAGCCAACGCCTGCCAGACAGAATCCGGCCCTGATTTTGGGCGGAAGCCACAGATCCAGAATCGAGGATGATGAAGATGAGGTAAAATGGTGAACTTTGTTTGGAATTTTTTTTTTTTTTAAATTCATTTAGGTCATTGTGAAATCGGCAAGTCGCGTGGATAACTACGTTGTGATCAATTGGGACTCTAAAGCCACAAACATTCTCGGATTCAGGGTCGTGTATAGACTCTTTGGTGACAGGAGCTTCAAGCAGGGTCCACCTTTGGATGCTTCGGAGCGCGAATTTAAAATCAAGAACGTCCCTCCTCAGGTACGTACACCCAAATCAATCTAGAAAAGTCTAACAGTACCAAATAAATTCAGGAGTGTTTGGTCGTCTGCGTGGTTTCTTTGGAAGAAGTTCGCGCCAGTCCGGACACGGTGCCGCCGAGGCAGTGCCGCGAAATCCGAACCGAGCAGAAATACGCCGGAGCGTCGACGGGCAACATGGACCGCGTGACCGTGGCCGCGAGCGCCGCCGTTTGCGGGGTGGTGCTGCTGGCCGTGCTGGTTCTCCTCGTGGTCAGCAGACGCCGAGCTCAAAAGCTACGCAGAGCACTCAGCAGACAGCAGCAAGTGGTGCCACCCAGCATTCCACACGGGTTGTGTCCGCACAAGGCGGCCAACCTGCTGATGGCAGGTTTGTGACCAAAAAATAATTCCTCTCTTTTGTAACCTTTTAGCTCGTTTACATCATTTTCCATGAAAAGTAGATTGTTCCCCTGTTTGGTAATTCTAGATTTGGATTAGTTTGAATCGTTTTTAATCATTAAAAGTTTGTTATCATTCAAGCATGGCTCGCTCTCATTCATTTAATTGAAAATCTATCAAAATTTCATATCATCATATTATAAATAAAAATATAAAAAACGCTTATAATCGCATCTAGTGCCTGCAGAATTGTATCTCTAACCATATTCTTAATGAGCTCATTCAGGAATGATGTAAAAATTATTATTTTCGTGCTGTATAAAGGCTGTCATTATGTGTATGTGTACCTCAGGAGGAACCCTTTCCGGCGCGCCTCCCTCGATCAGTGGCTTCAGGTCGCACCAGCCCGGCACCTTGGCCAGGGACTGGGAAGTCGGTTCCATGTACAGTGCCAGGAGCATTCCGCGGCCAAGGGTCTTGGCCACCCCTTCCCACCACGGTACGTATCTTGTCTGTTCGTGTAAATATTACTAACTCGTAAGTAGCAGCACCCTTTTCACCGTATTTGTCTGCACTCTTGTGACTTACAAATAAAAAAAATTAGTGGCCCGAGTTGCCGCACGTTTCGGTCCATCACGGACCTTTTGTGTGTCTGAAATTCGTGTTGTGTGTGTTATATGTTTGACTAATCCCGTGCCCAGCGTGAAGCGCGAGCACTCCGTCTTATTAATGTCATGTTATGCACCTGTGCACAGGCTCGGTAATGGGTTGTGAAGCAGGCGTGCACGGAGCCTCCGTGTCGCGCTCCATTGCCGACGGACAATCGCAGAGATCCTTTTCTGGGCTCTCGGCAGCCAAATTCTTGAGCTCAGGCGGCGCAATGTCTCGTCCAGGTAAAAGCACGCTCGCAAAAATCAACTCAGCGTTTTGCTTACATTATATTCGCATCCCGCAATTAGCGCTAACGTTTTGTGTTTAAAATTCAGTGAACTTAAGATTTTGTGTGCTTTTCACGCACAGCTAACTTTCGCACTTTCTTAATTAACTGAAGCGTTCAAATTTATTTCAGTGGCGACTTTTTGTTGATGATTTTCATTCAATTTCTAGACTTGCGACAATCTCGACAGTCCCTTGCAGCCCCTTCCGAGAGAATGTCCCGCGTTGGTTCTCCCCAAAGACGACCTCCAAGTGCTCAACAAGGTAATTTAAAAAAATTTCAATCTAAAGTTGTTTTTATAAAAAAAAAAAAAAAAAAATCATAAATTTGTACAGAGTAGGCTTAAAATTATAATTTAAATTCTAAAAATTTGCAGCGATCTATATGAGCTTTTTGGATCCTCGATGGGTAATTTGACAAAAATAAATGTTTGCACTTGATTGTTTTTGTTTGTTAACTATCACAAAAAATGTGCATGCATTTCTGCACTTCCAACCTTAAAAATTAATCTAAATTTGAGGAATTTAAAAACGCCTTATACATCATTAATTTCAAACAAATTGCAAACAAGAAATTAAGAATACACGATCAATCAGTGTGCATAAGTGCTAACATTACAGCGGAAAAACTTTGCCCAGCATTAAAAATTTTGTGACTAACTTATAAAAAAAAAATGACTATTGGTAAAGAAATTTTCACCTGCATAAAAATTTCAGGCTCACGGACTCGTTCCCGGAGCCGCGAGAGCCTGAGCTACATGGAGCAGACAATGGAGGGTAGCAGACCTGCGAGCAGATGCTCCTCGGCCCTGCACCGCCACCACCACACCCACCTGAGGGCAGGCACCAACACTTCGGGCTACGACACCTCTGACAACTGGACGGACCACGACATGGACATTTACATGGCGAGGAATCCCACCAGGGGCAGCAGAAACAGTCTCGTGAGACTGTGATTCTGACGACAGGCGGGAATTTAGGCGCTTGATGAGAGCCAATAGGAAATTTCGACGGCAATCGACATGACTTCTTGGTGATGGTGAAGACAAAGACGTCTCTTGTGGCTCTGATAATCAAAATTGAGACAAACCTGGGATGACAAAAACACACACAAGGTGCCACTGACGGACTTTTCTCAGAACAACCGCTCTGTGACTTTTCTTATTATCGCGAGAGTGTTCAGGATCATTCTTTCTTAAAGGTGTGCTCAATTGTGAAGTACTTGCAATCATTTCAACATTCTTACTGCTGAATTATTTAAGGCTCAATATACTTATAACGCGCTAACTGTAAGTAAGATCATCTATTGATTGTAGGAGCGCTAAATTTAAGAATTAGAATTGATAAATTTAATTTAAACCCCAAAACATGTACATTCTGTTTCCCCCGAGTTGTTAAGTTGCGATCATATAGTGTGTATCTTATTCCATTAAATCAAATATATTTGCAAGAAAAATAAAAATTTTGATTTAAACCTGAAAATTCCTAATTTAGTGGTACTCACCCTGGAATGGTGATGGCGTGGTCCCAACGGTACCTCATTTCCTGATTCACTTCATGCCAAAGATGGGCTGCAGCTCTCAAACCTCCATGAGAGGCGTCGGCCACCAGAGCCGTGACAATAGCAAGACGCCAAACCAGGCAATCAACCGGGCAAGACTTATATTGGACGCTTCCCTTCTAAAAAGTACAAATTATAAATTGAATTAAAATAAATAAATAAAGCACTTCTCGAAAATTTGAGCTTTTGGGTTCGTCTTGTCCAAATGTTTCAGGATATGGGTTGGCCTGAAATGAATGTTAAGAATAGATTGTTTACAATAATTTTAAGTAACCGACTGGTCCATTAACATCAGCATCGGGAAACAGGTAGTAGAGAATAGTCATCAACATTTGATGAGGAATCGGTCCACCGGCCATGCTGGTGCCTTGATTGCTGCTGCCAGATTTGAGACTGCTGGGCACCAACTTCGACAAACTAGGCACTTTCGGCTCCGTCAGCGCACTCAACGAGTCAGTGTACGATATGGCTGAAGGAGATGATTTCAGTTCAGATTGAAATAATAATGCAAAAATAAAAACTCACAAGCTTCTGGGGCACACATGACCATGTCTCCTAAGAGTTGCTTCAAAGTTGCTGTCGAAGAGCAAAGATTCAGCAGCCGTCCCAATGATTTCGCCAGAAGACCTAATGAGGGTGGGGCCATGTGCGCCTGCAAGGACCACCTCGATGCCATGCTTGGTGCCAAATCTGAATATCCATCACGGTCTACGAGAACACCTTCTGGCAGTCGTCTCCACTGGGCCAGCAAGTGGAGCTCCCTGAATGAGAAATTTTGACAAAATTGAAATATAATTTAATGGAAAATGTGAATCCAACCTCAGAGGGTCTGCCTCTGCTCCAAAGGGTAGTTTACCAATGTGCTCGACCCCAACTTGCCCATGCAGAAGCTCAAAATCTGGAGGGGACTGCATCCATTGGTTCATGGGCCAGTCTTTCAAGACGAAGTGAATTCTGGCCGAAATTTCAATGGGAGTCGCGAGAGCGTGAGCTGGGGAGTGGGCGACTGCAGCCAACTTTCCCTTAAAGATGTCCAGCAGCCCTGGAAGCAAAAGAATAAATACACCGAGACATTTCTTTCTGAAATTTTGATTTTACCTGTTAAATATTTGCAGTGCTTTGGCGCTTGCCTCAGATGGACCATAGTGAAGTCGGTTTGCATTCCAGGTCCTTGCCAAGTGCCAAGGAAGTACCTTTGCTGAGGCTGATGAACTTGCACAAATATTGGAATAGGACTGAAATAAAATTTGTTTTATTACAAAAAAAAATTTTGGTTGATAATAAATAATTTATTAACCATTTTGAGTTGCTGATTGCAATCTTGGCCGAGCTGAGGAGGAGTTTTGCTTTGGACTCGGAGGTGATTGCGGCATAGTTTTGTGCAGGAGAAAGCAACACAAATCTGCTAACTCCATACCAAAGTTCAATTGGATGAACACCATTCACTTCCTTTTCACCGTCTTCGTCTAAGATGTCGCTCTCGATTAACTCGTGGCCCCATTGCCTGTCACCCTTATCCTCAGGGCCAGGTGAATTCGAGTTGTCTTGCTCAGGAGGATTGCGATAAAAATAGCGCAGAATGAAATCTGTATCTGAATTTAAAAGAAAAAAACGATTCAAATTGAACTTGCTATTTTGTAAAATTCTTACCACTGAACTGCAGATTGGTCTCTGCATATTCAAGCTTGCCATCCACTTGATGCGAACTTTTTCTAAAGCGGTGATCCTCTGCTTTCAATTGAGGCAACTTCCAATCGTAAATTGCTTCTTCGATTCGAGCAATGAACATTTCCCACTGCGAAGCAGTGGTGAAATCGTCGTGCCAGTTTCCTTGCTGATCATCCACGTCCATTTCCTACAAATTTGAATATAAAATTATATGTATTTAAACGTTTGTACATATGTGTTTAACTGACTTACCTTTCAAACGAATTAAAAGTTAAGACTGAAAAGTATTTGGAAGGAAAATATTTTTGCGCAGAGTGCAGATGTTTTTATTTATTTTGTACCTCAGATTCTTTGTCAACAAGCGCATGCGCAGACTTTGACAGCAGAAGACCTGATTATAGCGATCATCATTGCATGACCTTGTAATTTTATTCTTATGATCAAGGTCAACGTCAAATGGTGCTATAATGAGGTCCCAGAATGATGAAAGACAGGTTGCCAGGATCCTTATTACCTTATTAGCACCAATTTGACGTTGACTATACCTTGATCATAAGAATAACTTTACAAGGTCATGCTATGTTGATCGCTCTAAATAAATTATGTCAGCTGTCAGCTCGGCAGTATCGTCTCTTGTCACTCAATCACTCCCGCCGGTTCGGTTGCTGCAGGGTGCGGAACAAGGGTACGGAAACCAGCACACTACTTGCATTCCAGCTTAATATTCAGCAACCAGCAACCCTTGCGTTGATCGCGCACTCACCGCAAATTTGCCCTCGATTCTGTGTTCATCCTAGATTCTTTTGAACGCAGATTATTTCCGACCCGCAAACTTTAAAAGGTACATAAACCCGATCTTTTCGGTCACCTCTAATTTTATTTCACTCATCCCAGCGAAATTCGGTTCGGCCGAGTTTTGCACGTTGAGGAACATATATGTGTACGCTGCTGCGTTCCTCGGATGTCAAATTGTTCGAACGTACCGGAACGTACATTTAATTTGTTAGCGTGTACATACATAGAATTCATAGAAAAGAGGAATCACATAATTAACTACAATAAGTACCTCTCTGCGCGGTAGTTTTATCAGAAGAAAAATTATATCCGTTAATTGCATTTAAATTTCGAATTCCGCATATGTCGTGTTATGAAATTAACTTTTTCTGCAAAATACTAAAACCATGTGGATTGTTTTATTGTCTAGCTCTTTCCAAATGTTTATTTTATCACGTCTGCTCACACTGACATTTTATACCATCCTCAGGTACGCTGTTCCGCGCTGATTATAATTTCCTGCAACCTGAAAATGCAAGCCCTTGCTGCCGCACATGGCCATGAGCCGTATCAAGTCCTTGAAGATGGGAAAGTTTATTTCCACTTCGAAGCGGAGAATTTCGAAATAGCGGCTTCCTGGAAATCAACGCAGCGTGCAAAAATTTGCTACGAAGCTCTCCCTGAAATCCCTGCCAACGAAATCATTTTTGAACCGACGCAGTTGAACATCGTCCTTGATGATGATGATGATGTAGAGCATTTTCAAGGCCTATGCGTAAACACTCGGCCTGCAGCTGGACGCCTGCACCATTTTTTCAACTCTCATAACTTTGACATGGATGCTACTTATGATGAAAAAATTCATTTCAACCTTACATACTGTTTCCCACCGATGCCAACAATGCAGATTAACCATCAACCCCGAGGTAAATATAGTGCTTTTTCAAATAATATGATTTTGTTTTTAATCTGGATGAAATTTAGATGTTCAGCAGGCCGGCCATCAAGTTGGGCAAGAACCAGCAGCCCAAGGAGCAGCAGCCGATGATGGCGACGAAGACGAAAATGCTGAAGAGGCTGGGCCAAGGAGGCGCCGTCGCCGTACCAATGGCTGGAATTTCTTCCGCCATCGAGAAGCTCAACTACATCCCGGACGTTACACCAGCAAAGAATTGCAAGAAAGATGGGCTGCCAAGACCGCTGAGGAAAAAGCAGCGTATATTGCCAATATTGGGCATGACTAGGTAACAATTTAAAATTCTGAGGAAATTATTTGTTTTTTAAGGCAAAGAAGTCTATCTTCAAGACTGATAAACAGGCTGCATTTAATTTAAGTGATATTTACAAACACTGTAATTTAACCAGGTTTTATCATACCAAAGAAACTATTTAATTTTACTCTTCATGATAACTACCAATTAAATAATTTTTTTCGAATGACTTACTCGATTGGTGTGATAATAAAGAAAATATTGTCTCTTAAAATTTTTTAAATTCTAACTTATAATGCAAAATGATTAATGTATGTTACCTAGAATTCCGTTTTCAGAAGCAATTCTGTTATGAACATTTACGGGGGTAAGATTCTTTTGTCTGGGAATAATAATAAGGAAGATGGCCATATGTGTTAATAAACTGAATTGTGCAAATTTTGTATTCGTTGATGCCAAAACTATTTACTAAAAGTGAATCCTTTAGTTAAAAAATGTTTATCAATCATATTTTAGATATTGTGCTAATTTCAAAATAATAAAAAATATTTATCTCAATAAAATATAATTTTGTATGATCTTTCAAAGCCCTAAAAAAACAAAATATATTTATGAACAAGTGAAATTTATAATATTTATTTTTAAGCCAAACTGATAAAAATACAATTTGAACCATTCATTTTCACTTCCAATTGTGTCGTACACAGATGCCAGGTGTCCAAAATACGCACCGAAATACCATGTCTGTTTTGCTACTCTACATAAAAATCTAATTCAAAATTTGCAAGTCAATTAGGATAAAAATATTTTTAATATGAATATTGTTGACTTTTACTTGTTAAAATTTTAGTATATAAATGACACCGTGTTATGGCAGTCTCGGTCCTATGCGAATAATTAATTAATATTATTTTCATTGTAAAATTCATCTCAATATTACTTTAATTTTTTTATTGCCTTAATTTACTTTTTAAAAATAAGCAAGAGCTAAATTCGCTTAATTGACTAGTTGTGCAACCTAATAGGTTGCATAACTAGCAAAATAAACCTAATCGAAATAAGCAGTTGCTAATTTCGCTAGTTTAGCAAACTTAGCGAAATAAGCGATTGCTAAATTTGCTAATTTCGCTAGTTTAGCAAAATTAGCGAAATAAGCGATTGCTTAATTTGCTAATTTCGCTAGTTTAGCAAAATTAGCGAAATAAGCGATTGCTTAATTTGCTAATTTCGCTAGTTTAGCAAACTTAGCGAATCAAGCGATTGCTTAATTTGCTAATTTCGCTAGTTTAGCAAAATTAGCGAAATAAGCGATTGCTTAATTTGCTAATTTCGCTAGTTTAGCAAAATTAGCGAAATAAGCGATTGCTAAATTTGCTAATTTCGCTAGTTTAGCAAAATTAGCGAAATAAGCGATTGCTAAATTTGCTAATTTCGCTAGTTTAGCAAAATTAGCGAAATAAGCGATTGCTTAATTTGCTAATTTCGCTAGTTTAGCAAAATTAGCGAAATAAGCGATTGCTAAATTTGCTAATTTCGCTACTTTAGCAAAATTAGCGAAATAAGCGATTGCTTAATTTGCTAATTTCGCTAGTTCAGCAAACTTAGCGAAATAAGCGATTGCTCAATTTGCTAATTTCGCTAGTTTAGCAAACTTAGCGAAATAAGCGATTGCTAAATTTGCTAATTTCGCTAGTTTAGCAAAATTAGCGAAATAAGCGATTGCTAAAATTGCTAATTTCGCTAGTTTAGCAAAATTAGCGAAATAAGCGATTGCTAAAATTGCTAATTTCGCTAGTTTAGCAAACTTAGCGAAATAAGCGATTGCTAAATTTGCTAATTTCGCTAGTTTAGCAATCTTAGCGAAATAAGCAACCATGGTCTCGAACGACCTTGAAGGCGACCTCGGACGGTCCCGAACGACCTCATATTTTTACATGGCAATTATTTAGGGGCAACAGTTGCCCCTTTGTCTCGAACGACCTCTATTGGTCTCAGGCGACCCTCTGGCGGTCTCGGGGTGTCCAACGGCCTCGAACTGTCTCAAGCGGTGTCGAACGTCCTCGGATGGTCTCGAGCGACCTCGGACTGTCCGAAGTATTATTTAAGGTTCGATCAGAAAATGGAATAAATAATTTAATTCAATTAATTAGACGAAAATTATTTTTGCATTTGTGAATATATAAACTATATTTTTAACTTTTTAAAGTAGAGAAACATAAATCACTCTACAGTTAAGGCCACAAAAATTTACAGGCGCGGAGCGCCGCGAAATAATAAAGGGTTAATTCGTTGCGTAAAATTAGAAGACAAAATTCAAAGTAACTATACACAATAGGATTAAAATGAAGTATTTTATTGGGCTTACTTATGTCCCTTAATTGTGTGTAAAATAAATCCCGAAGGAAAATTAATAAACTAATTCTATCGAATAATCTGATTAATAGAGAATTAATTAAAGAGGCAGTTCAGTTGTATATTAAATCAATTTTAATAATTCTTTTAACAACAAATCTCTCGAATAAACTAGCATATCTTGGCCAGTAACTGCAACAACAGTGTATTTATATTAAAAGAAAAGCTTTATTTTAATTTCAAAGGCTCACATGTATTGACTTTTTTCTAATAAAATGGTTTCTATAAAGCTTAAACCATTATATATTTAAATTTTAAACGTAACGTAGCTTCAGCACTCTCGCTCCGCGCTTTGAAGAGAAGTGAAGGGAAAAATGTGACAAAAAGTTAATGAGAAATCATTTGAATTGAATTAAATACTAATTCAACATTTTTGTTAAGATAAAAATATTTTTTATATGAATTTTGTTGACTTTTACTTGTTAATATTTTAATATATAAATGACACCGTGTTATTGTAAATATGGCTCTTGTTCGATTAATAAAATAAATGAAAAGTATTTATTTAAAGAATATTCATTTATTATTACTCCCAGGCAGGTAATTATTATTATTGTTTATTCTCCACAAATCAAGTGAAATGGGAAAAAATTACAAAATGTGAAGAAACGGCAGAACCCCTGGCAATCAACAAATAAAGAAATAATAAAATATGAATAAAAATTTTAATCGCTCAACTTGTATTTAGTTACGCTGCTCAAAAAATAAATTAAAAGAGAGAAAGGAGCAGCGAGGGACTCGCCTGTCTCTGATTGGCTTCTGAGAACAACTAAGCCCTAGAGTGACACCATCGAGTTTTGATAAAACTCGCAAAACCAATTGAAGGTTAATTTAAATAAATTAACAGAACTTAAGCTGCCTTTATAAATTTAATTTAATTTGTCAGGATTTCAGGACTTTAGTCACTGTGAAGAAATTAAATAAAAAATTTGAATTTAAATGTTATATTATTATATTGTATAACTTCAAAATCAATTACACACATTAATAAAAAAAAAATTACAATGTTCGCCGAAAATAGAACGTACCGGAATACATTTACAGAATTAACAGAAATTAGCATTGCACAAAAGGAGTACAGTTCTGTTTGTGAACGCTTTCAAGAGTGGTCTTTAAGCTTGCAGCTATAGCCATCAGTGAGTAATAAATCACAGCTCACTTTGACGAGCAGGCGCGGGGCGCCGCGAAATAATAAAAGGTTAATTCGTTGCGTAAAATTAGAAGACAAATTCAACGATAGGATTAAAATGAAGTATTCTGTTGGGCTTACTTATGGCCCTTAATTGTGAAAAAAATAAATCCCGAAGGAAAATTAATAAACTAATTCCATCGAATAATCCGTTTAATAGAGAATTAATTAAAGAGGCAGTTCAGTTCATTCAGTTGTATATTAAAAGAATTTTAATAATTCTTTTAACGACAAATCTCTCAAATAAACTAGCATATCTTGGCCAGTAACTGCAACAACAGTGTATTCATTATAAAAGAAAAGCTTTTTTTAATTTCAAAGGCTCACGTGTTGACTTTTTTCTTAAAAAATGGTTTCTATAAAGCTTAAACTATTATATATTTAAATTTTAAACGTAACGTAACTTCAGCACTATCGCTCCGCTTTGAAGAGAAGTTAAGGGGAAAATGTGGCAAACAGTAAATGAGAACTCATTTGAATTGATTTAAAATCTAATTCAACATTTTTTACGATAAAAATATTTTTAATATGAACATTGTTGACTTTTAATTGTTATAATTTTATTATATAAATCATATATAAAGGACACCGTGTTATGGCAATCTCGGTCCCATGCGAGTAATTAATATTATTTTCATTGTAAAATTCGACTCAATATATTACCTAATTACTTACTTTTAATTATTTACTTTTTAAAATAAGCAATAGCTAAATTTGCTAATTTCGCTAGTTTAGCAAACTTAGCGAAATTAGCGATTGCTTAATTTGCTAATTTCGCTAGTTTAGCAAACTTAGCGAAATTAGCGATTGCTAAATTTGCTAATTTCGCTAGTTTAGCAAACTTAGCGAAATAAGCGATTGCTTAATTTGCTAATTTCGCTAGTTTAGCAAACTTAGCGAAATTAGCGATTGCTTAATTTGCTAATTTCGCTAGTTTAGCAAACTTAGCGAAATAAGCGATTGCTTAATTTGCTAATTTCGCTAGTTTAGCAAAATTAGCGAAATAAGCGATTGCTTAATTTGCTAATTTCGCTAGTTTAGCAAACTTAGCGAAATAAGCGATTGCTTAATTTGCTAATTTCGCTAGTTTAGCAAAATTAGCGAAATAAGCGATTGCTAAATTTGCTAATTTCGCTAGTTTAGCAAAATTAGCGAAATAAGCGATTGCTTAATTTGCTAATTTCGCTAGTTTAGCAAACTTAGCGAAATAAGCGTTTGCTTAATTTGCTAATTTCGCTAGTTTAGCAAACTTAGCGAAATAAGCGATTGCTTAATTTGCTAATTTCGCTAGTTTAGCAAACTTAGCGAAATAAGCGATTGCTAAATTTGCTAATTTCGCTAGTTTAGCAAACTTAGCGAAATAAGCGATTGCTAAATTTGCTAATTTCGCTAGTTTAGCAATCTTAGCGAAATAAGCAACCATGGTCTCGAACGACCTCGAAGGCGACCTCGGACGGTCTCGAACGACCTCATATTTTTACATGGCAATTATTTAGGGGCAACAGTTGCCCCTTTGTCTCGAACGACCTCTATTGGTCTCAGGCGACCCTCTGGCGGTCTCGGGGTGTCCAACGGCCTCGAACTGTCTCAAGCGGTGTCGAACGTCCTCGGATGGTCTCGAGCGACCTCGGACTGTCCGAAGTATTATTTAAGGTTCGATCAGAAAATGGAATAAATAATTTAATTCAATTAATTAGACGAAAATTATTTTTGCATTTGTGAATATATAAACTATATTTTTAACTTAAATTGAATTCCACCTTTCTTTTTAATTTTTTTTAAATATAATAATCTTAAAAAAAAAAATTGCTGGCCCGGAATAATTTTTTGTGGCCTTATTTATAGAGTTAATAAAGTTTAATTTTTTGTGAGAAAATTATAAAAAGTTTCATTTTCAATGCATGCAGGTGTTATATTTTTGTAACAATATTTTCTACATTAAAA